AAATAATGTGACTGAAAGCGCTGTCTGATTAGCTGAAGCCGATATTCATTCTTTTGTTGTCATATTTAAAAATGCAAAATTTAAATGAGTTCAATAATTATACCTATCCTTTATTTTTTTCTCGATTTTTTTTTAATAGTAAAGGACTAATCTCGGGACTAATATAGTCTCTAGGTGGCAAGTTGTGCAATGATGTACTAATGAGAAACCGAGTGAGAAACTTGGCATCCTCGCATTTTTACTGATTTTCTGGATTGTGACGTCACACACCGGTCCAGCGTTTTTGCGGCAGTTTAAAAGTTCGCTTTTTAAATAATTTTATTTTCAAAAATGGGAGTTTTTTTTTGGAAAAAAAGTATACAGATAGTATTAGAATGACCAAAAGAATAATTAACACATTCTCTGCCGAGTCGGTCAATATAACCGAAACTTGTCCTGGAAAATCAGGCCGCGTCGGTCATTTTGACAGAAAAATTCATCGATTTTTTTTTGGCTTCCAGAGCGCCAACAGTCCCAAGCTGTAGGGTGCTATGCATATGGCATGACCGAAGCGGCCTGGTGAGCAAATGGCACATAAAAACTTTTTGATTTTTTTTCTAGATTTTTTCCTATAAGTATTGTTTTTTTTGTAATTAGGTAGCTGAACACGTTAATTTTACTGAAAACATTTATTATAAATATAAAAGTAATGACATGAACTGTGTGTAGGGCTGCCATCCGTCCGGATTTCCCCGGATTTGTCCTAGTTTTAAAGGCGTCCGGGGGGATTTTTTGAAGTTATCCGTGTTTTAAGCTTTACGGCATCTTGAAAAAAATCACGAATAACTCCGCGAAATTGACAAGAATCATCGTCAATCGACATCATCAGTTTTATTTAGCCCGCGTGTGCGCGACTCAAGTTTCACGTTCACGTGTTGTTAGTCATGTTTGGAGCTCGGTGAAGGCTATAAAAAACCCCAATAAAATGATTTTTTTGTGAAAATAATGAGTGGTTCTCGAAGGCTTGAAATAAACTTTTTTGGGCGTGGCACCCAAAAAAAATCTTCTGCCTCCGGCGGCGCCTAAGGTAGCCTACCCTTTACTGGTGTCCGGGTTTGAGGGGTTAGAATCCGGGGTTTTTGTAAAAATTCTCCTAGGTAACAAATTTCATAAATGGCAGCCCTAACTGTGTGGAAAAAACCCAGAAGAGTTAAAATATAAAAGAAATTACCTCGGAAATTACATGAACACGAAAACAGAACCCAAATCGTGACCGAGGTGGCGTACAACGGTCAATTCGGTCAAATTAAACCCTCAACGCCGCGTCGGTCATTTGGACTGAAAGTTCAAAAAATCAATTTTTTTTTTTTCATTTTTGATAACATAAAATGTTAAAACATGTTTCTTTGATTCTTAAAACATCTTTTGGATAAAAAAAACATCTTGGCGCAGGGTTACCAAATCCTTCAAAAAGGTCTATAAAGCTAGCAGTCCCAAGGTGGAAAAAAACTTCGGGGAACTATATAATAATTAGGTGCTTTTTAGGTGCTAATTAGGGCCTTTAATTAAAAATTAGGTGCTCCTTTAGTTTTTGAGAAAATCCAAAAAAAAACTAAGGGATTGCTAGGTTTATGAAAGCTAGCAGTCCCCTATAGTAAAAAATATGTTTTCAAATTTTTTCTTTGTATCAGAATTAGGTGCTTTTTAGGTGCTCCTAAATATTCCAAGAAAAAATAGAATTGATTAATTATTAACTGAGTTACAGATTTTTTAAAATTATTAGGGGACTGCTGGCTTTACGTTTACATGTTGGTGTGTCAGAATGGAAAAAAAAACTTCGGGATCTATATAATATATGAGATAGAGTAGAGATAATGGGTTCAGGACTTTGGAAATAAAACTCCCTTTTTTCAAAAAATTATGCCGACGTTTCGACCATATATATTTGGTCTTCTTCACAGGCTATTTTTTACCAGCAAGGGCGTTTTGACGTCAAATACCAATGTAGGAAACATTCCAAAACACAAAGGGACACACATTAGTCTAAATTATTTTTTAATTTTTGCTCTGTATATCGATTAAACACGTATAGGTTACAGTAAGTTGGCAAACACAGCCGCGACTCACTCACTAGTCGCGGCTGTGTTTGCCAACTTACTGTAACCTATACGTGTTTATCGATATACAGAGCAAAAATTAAAAAATAATTTAGACTAATGTGTGTCCCTTTGTGTTTTGGAATGTTTCCTACATTGGTATTTGACGTCAAACGCCCTTGCTGGTAAAAAATAGCCTGTGAAGAAGACCAAATATATATGGTCGAAACGTCGGCATAATTTTTTGAAAAAAGGGAGTTTTATTTCCAAAGTCCTGAACCCATTATCTCTACTCTATCTCAAACAGTAAGGACGTTATCTATAAAGAAGATCTATATAATAATTAGGTGCTTTTTAGGTGCTAATTAGGGCCTCTAATTGAAAATTAGGTGCTCCTTTAGTTTTTGAGAAAATCAAAAAAAAAAAGGGATTGCTAGGTTTATGAAAGCCAGTAGTCCCCTATAGTGAAAAATATTTTTCCAAAATTTTCTTTTTTATCAGAATCAGGTGCTTTTTAGGTGCTCCTAAATAGTCGAAGAAAAAATAGAATTGATTAATTAAATATTAACTGAGTTACAGATTTTTTTCTAATTATTAGGGGACTGCTGGCTTTGCGTTTACATGTTGGTGTGTCAAAATGGAAAAAAACTTCGGGATCTATATAATAATGAGGTGCTTTTTAGGTGCTAATTAGGGCCTCTAATTAAAAACTAGGTGCTCCTCTAGTTTTTGAGAAAATTTTAAAAAAACTAACGGATTGCTGGGTTTATGAAAGCTAGTAGTCCCCTATGGTGAAAAATATTTTTCCAAAAATTTCTTTTGTATCAGAATTAGGTGCTATTTAGGTGCTCCTAAATAGTCGAAGAAAAAATAGAATTGATTAATTATTAACTGAGTTACAGATTTTTTTTTAATTATTAGGGGACCGCTGGCTTTACGTTTACTTGTTGGTGTGTCAGAATGGAAAAAAAACTTCGGGATCTATATAATAATTAGGTGCTTTTTAGGTGCTAATTAGACCCTCTAATTAAAAATCAGGTGCTCCTCTAGTTTTTGAGAAAATCAAAAAAAACTAAGGGATTGCTAGGTTTATGAAAGCTAGTAGTCCCCTATAGTAAAAAATATTTTTCCAAAATTTTCTTCTGTATCAGAATTAGGTGCTTTTTAGGTGCTCCTAAATAGTCGAAGAAGAAATAGAATTAATAATTAATCAATTATTAACTGAGTTACAGATTTTTTTTTAATTATTAGGGGACTGCTGGCTTTACGCCTACTTGTTGGTGTATCAGAATGGAAAAAAAACTTCGGGATCTATATAATAATTAGGTGCTTTTTAGGTGCTAATTAGGGCCTCTAATTAAAAATTAGGTTCTCCTCTAGTTTTTGAGGAAATCAAAAAAAACTAAGGGATTGCTAGGTTTATGAAAGGTAGTAGTCCCCTATAGTGAAAAATATTTTTCCAAAAATTTCTTTTGTATCAGAATTAGGTGCTCCTAAATAGTCAAAGAAAAAATAGAATTGATTAATTATTAACCGAGTTACAGATTTTTTTTTAATAGAGGACTGCTGGCTTTACGTTTTGCTGGTTTTACGCTTACTTGGATGTGTATTTGCAACGAATCTGGTGACAGTGGTCAAAATGTTGTATTGGAATTAGGTGCTATTTAGGTGCTCCTAAAAACATGGTTGAAGAAAAAATTGAATTAGTTTATTATTAACTGAATTACAGATTTTTTTCATTATTAGGGGACTGCCGGCTTAACGTTTACTAGTTTCCATTAACCTAGCAGTCCCTTTGTTTTTTTTTTTTTTTAATTATCTCAAAAACTAAAGGAGCACCTAATTTTTAATTAGCACCTAAAAAGTACCTAATTATTATTAATATATAGACCCCGAAATTTTTTTTCTATTCTGACACATCACCAAGTAGAAGTGAAGCCAACAATTTCCTAATGATGAAAAAAGTCTGTAATTCAGTTAATAATTAACTGATTCAAGTTTTTCTTCAACTATTTAGGAGCACTTAAATAGCACGTCATTCTAATACAAAAAAAAAATAAAAAAATATTTTTTACTATAGGGGACTGCTAGCTTTCATAAACCTAGCAGTCCCTTAGTTTTTCTTGATTTTCTCAAAAACTAAAGGAGCACCTAATTTTCAATTAGAGGCCCTAATTAGCACCTAAAAAAGCACCTAATTATTATATAGATCCTGAAGTTTTTTTTTTGCCATTCTGATTCACCAACAAGTAAACGTAATGCCAGCAGTCCCCTAATAATTTAAAAAAAATCTATAACTCAGTTAATAATTAATGAATTCTATTTTTTCTTCGATTATTTAGGAGCACCTAAAAACTAAAAAGCACCTAATTCTGAAAGAAAAGAAATTTTTGGAAAAATATTTTTTACTATAGGGGACTACTAGCTACTAGCTACTAGCACCTAATTATTATATAGATCCCGAAGTTTTTTTGCCATTCTGACACACCAACATGTAAACGTAAAGCCAGCAGTCCCCTAATAATTAAAAAAAATCTGTAACTCAGTTAATAATTTGAATCAATTCTATTTTTTCTTGGACTATGTAGGAGCACCTAAAAAGCACGTAATTCTGATACAAAGAAAAAATTTGAAAAAATATTTTTTACTATAGGGGACTGCTAGCTTTTATAAACCTAGCAGTCCCTTAGTTTTTTTTGATTTTCTCAAAAAGTAAAGGAGCACCTAATTTTTAATTAGAGGCCCTAATTAGCACCTAATTATTATATAGTTCCCGAAGTTTTTTTCCACCTTGGGACTGCTAGCTTTATAGACCTCCTTCGAAACACGTTGGCAGAGAACGTGTTTTAAAATATGTTTTTGAAAAATGTGAAAGTGGCCAATTGATCTTATAAATAACAATTATTAGAATAAAATATAATTTACCTGAGTAATTTCTCTTTCACTATCTGGCAGAATGGCAAGTGGTTCATCAGCCACCTCCAAGGCCACCTCATTAGGTTGAAGTACATCATGTGCAGGTGATTCAACAGTATTTAAATCAGAAGTACTTTCCTGTTCAATTCCATCCAAGTTAACTTGTTCAAACTGAGTAGCACAAGTACTGGACTCTGGATCACAAGGGTCTTCATTTGCAGTGTCGGTGCATTGTAAAGAATCTTCACATATCTTAGTGGCAGTAGATTGTGGATAATTCTCACAAGGTTCTGCATTTTTGTTGATAGATTTTGGATCAACTCCACATGACCTTTCAATTGTGGGAGAAATGCATTCTGGATCATTTATACATGGGTTTTCATTTTGAATAGCAGATGACTTTGGATCAATAGTCTGTGTTTGCTCAGTTTGAATACTAGATTGTGGATCATTATTTTTAGCAACAATGCATTCAGTTTCACACATTTCTTCACTTCCTAAATTGAAAGAATGATCTGAGGAACGATCATTAATCTTGCCAGATATGTCGGCCTGTATGCTATTATCAGAAGCAGGCAGTTCAGGTTTAGAACCTCCTTTTTCATCAAATGTTTTTGAAGTGGGAGATTCTAATTGATTTTCAATGTTAATATCTTCTTCTTGAACGGCTAACCGATCAGATGGCATAGAGACTTTATCTACTTGCTCAGTTGACTCACCAGATTGTAATCCTGTCAGTTCCAAATCCTTTAGTTCATCATCTAATTCAACATCTTTGTCTTTCTCAATTTCTTTACTTTCCTGAATTATTTCAGATGATAATTCGGGATTAAATTCATCTGCTACTTTATCTGTTATACCTGAAACAATAGAATTTGAAATGGCATCAACATTTTCATCAGTTGATGATAAAACTTGTGCACTTTCCAAGACTTTTTCACTTTCTAGATGTTGATCAATTCTTGCATTTTTTAAACTATTTTCAGTATCTTCTTGTATTTTTGTATAATCGTCATCTTTTGTTTGTTGTTCTGTTTGAGGTTCTGCTATGATTTGTTCATTTTGAGCAAATAAATCAGAGCTAACTTCTAAAACTTGTACACTTTCCAAGGCTTTCTCACTTTGATCAATTCTTGCATTTTTAAAACTATCTCCAGTATCTTCTTGCATTATTGCATAATTGACATCTTTTGTTTGTTGTTCTGCTATGATTTCTTCATTTTCAGCAAATATATCAGAACTTACTTCTAAAACTTGTGTACTTTCCAAGGCTTTTTCACTTCCTAGATTTTGATCGATACTTGCATTTTTAAAACTATTTTCAGTATCTTCTTGTATGTTTGTACAATCGTCATCTTTTGTTTGATGTTCTGCTGTCATTTGTTCATTTTGAGCAAATAAATCAGAAGTAACTTCACTAGCATCATTTGTGGGTGTAGAGCTTGGTTTTGAAACAGCACTTTCAGTAGAATCATATTTACTGCCACTTTGTGTGTTAGTTGGTTCACTGATCACTTCTAGTGATGTATGATCCATCATCTCACTATCCCTTTCAAGATTTTCATTATTTTGATTTTCTATAACTAATATATTTGATTCTAAATGTGCATCGGAAATTATATTGTGTGCAAGCTCACCGGCTGCTTCATGTATTTCTTCCAATAACTCCTCTCTATCGCCATTTGGTGGCTCTAAAGCTTCAAAAATAGAATGTTTTGTTACTTGATTATTTTCCACAATATTTGTCTTTGTTATGCTAGTAGATTTATCCACAGTTTGCTCATCCTTACCTTCTGAATCCATTTTATCTGTAATGGATTCCGAATTATTTGATATAACTTTTCTCAAGGCATGAATTTTATATTCAACCCTGGTAACTTTGTTATTTGAAATCCCGGCTTTTTTGGCGTATGATTGTATTTGTCACACAAAATCACTGGCGTAACACTATAGTTTTGCACTCTTTATGTTTATTACACGAGTTTCATCGAAGTTTTTCTTAACAAAACGACTTTTTAAAGCACATTTCGATAAAAAAATAATATACAATAACTTGTTTGAATTACGGTTTCAATAGAAGCTAGCATAATGGTGGATGATAAGTGGCAATTGGTTGTTGAAAAGTCACTAAACAGGGATCCGGACAGGAATACCAACACGATAACAAATGGCGTCCAGCGTCCATTCAACACTTCACAAGGCCAAATGATAGATCAATTTTAGTAACGTGATCCGAACAAATCGGACTATCGGACACTGATAAGGACGATGAGGTTCCACCTAACACGCTATCTCTGTTTAACGATATAGGTTAGCAAGAGATGAAATATCAAAAATGTCCTCAAGAGTTTAGAACATTAGAGCTACTCGCTCCGGTGTTGGTCGGCCCTGTTTTGAAAGGAACAGATGCGATGGCTTTCGTTCATTTAAATGGTTTGATTCGTGGCAGAACAAACACATTTCAAAAGGAATAAGCGCGTAACGCCCCGGAGCTGTTCCGGAGCTCCTCCTTGGTGTGAAAGGAATACAAATAATGACGATGTTGTCAAATACTTCGTCAGCTGTTTCCGCCAGCGGTCGTAGATTAAAATACACATTTATGATGAATTATATTATTTAATTTTGATTAGCAAAGAGAAAGATGCAAACTCGGATGCAAACGAGATCTACAAAAGCGTTGTTTTAGAATGTTGATTATGTACTGAAACCAAGTATACATGAAAGCAAAAGCCCGCGAAAACATAACCTGTGGTGCAAACACCCTACGTCAAGGCGAGAACATACGCTGCCACGTCATCACTGGTATTTTGGCGTGGGCTTGACATTTGATCTACATAGGCCTTATGACTAAGGGCGGGTATTATAAAACTACTTTGAGAGTTAACTTAAAGTTAACTTCTGGAATTACATGTAATTCAAAAAGTTAACTTCAAGTTAACTGTCAAAGAAGTTTTATAATACCCGCCCTTATGAGGATAAGCTATCCTGTAGTAGTAATGTGTATTATCCTTGCTTGACCTATCCTATAACAGGAACGCATTCAGATTTTTGTCAGGTTGTTGATGTCTTTATTTTAATTTTAATTAATGTTTAATGGGAATGAAATATGTATGTGCAAATAATTAAGTGTTTATTGAATATTTTTACCTTAAATAAAACAACAAGAAAACTATATATCGGATATCAGATAAATTTTCGTTGTGGAAAAATCGGCGTTTTCAGTCCTTCCATAGGTGGGTTCGGCTTGCTCACTCCGTGCACTCCGAGTGACTCCATTCGCCCTCAAGCCGTTCGGGTTAAGGTTCGGGTATTGCTTTCTACCGTATTAGGGGTGACTCCATTAGCTCTGTTCACTCCACTCCAACTCCGCGCTGAAAGCCGGACCCAGCCCATATAGATACGGACTTCGCAATTGATGTACCTAATAATAATTGTCATCAAATACGTTGTTTTTATTTTTTTATGATAGGATAGATGTCCATTTGAATTCTGCGCAAAATTTGAAATGGGTTCTTAAACACATTACAACAAATTTGACAACAACGCATTTTTTAAGCCTAGTAGGTACTCACTCATAAACCGCGAAATTCGCTCTTTTTTGACATTGCTTCGACAATTTGACGTTTGATGCCTCATTCTCACTTGCGCGAAATTCGCTCATTTTGCGCGAAATTCGCTTTTTTTTGTGAGAATAAGGGCGGGTATTATAAAACTACTTTGAGACTTAACTTTAAGTTAACTTCTGGAATTACATGTAATTCATAAAGTTAACTTCAAGTTAACTGTCAAAGCAGTTTTTTATTACCCGCCCTAAAGCTTAATGCCTAGTACTCATAACTGCGAAATTCGCACTTTTTTGACATTGCTTTGACAATTTGACGTTTGATTTACGCATAAAACGTCAATTTGTCGAAGCAATGTCAAAAAAGTGCCAATTTCGCAGTTATGAGTACTAGGCTTTATGCGTGAATCAAATGTCAAATTGTTGAAGCAATGTCAAAAAAAGAGCGAATTTCGCGGTTATGAGACTAGGCTTTTTTGGGGATTCAAAAGAGTAATTTTCAGACGGGAATATCTAGCGACAGTTTGCAGCGCGGCGTCGTGTCGCGTCGCCGAGCTGAGTGAAGCGCAAGTGAGAATTGACCTTTATTCAATTTTCAAACATTCAAACACTCTCGCAGTCGATTAACATATCAAAAAAAACTATGTAATCAACTTACTTCCCTAACAAACTTTCTATCCTGTCTACAGCCGCTTTCAAAATTGAGTCCCCATAAGACATCAATGCAATAATTTTTGAAATAGGAATCCGCGCCAATTTGAGATTCTAACCTAACTAATTTGGTGACACTGTATCTACATATATAATTTGCTTATAAAGTTTATATGTCTTTGCACGCCATTCTGACGTTATTACTTGAGCTAGAATTCTCAAATTTGGGATACAGTAGTGCGATAATCCGGATCAATTAGAGCCAGACCAATCCGGATTAGCAAATTATTCGGATTACTAAGGCCGTTTTACAGCTTGCAATTTTATCTGCAATATGCAAGAAACTTGAACGAGGGCATGCGCAGAAGTGCGTCATTTGATTGGTTTCTGCAAGATTCTTGAAACTTGAATGGCATTGCATGCAATCGGTTTGGTGCCATTTTTCTTGAAGGTTTTCGTGCAAGCTGGGGAATTTTTAGCAATTATGATGCTTAAAGTTGCTGCTATTGCTTACAGTGACTCTATTACCCACAGTGATTGGTTCTAATATCCCATATATTTCTATTGGAAACGCGGCCATCTTGTTGCCACCTATTGCTTATTTCAAATATGAATATATGGGATTTGGGTGAAAATCCATCATAAAACATGGAAAACAACGTATTTGATGGACCTAATAATAGTCATCAAATACGTCGATTTCAATTTTTTATGATAGATGTCCATTTAAATCCTATAAATTATTATTTAAAAGTAACAAGAGCTTGGGAACAAAATGGCGGCGAGACCTCTATTGTCGCCACTGTATGTAAAGGTTTATTTAGCCACTGTACTATAGCTTTCTTCTTTTTATATCGACTTATAATCACTTTTTTATTTTTGGAAAATGCAAACATCAACAACACAACATTAAACACAAAAAATTATGGTTAAGATTAGAGAAGGAAACAAGTCAAATTGCAAGGTGTAAAACGATGTGCAAGAGATCTTGAATGCAATTTTTTTGCATGCAACAAATTGCGTTCAAGTTTTCTTGCAAGCTGTAAAACGGCCTTAAGGCATTTTACAGTCCGCTTTTAAAACTTGCAACTTGCAAAAAAAGCCTTATATTTATTTCAGTTCATCTAATATTCGTTTCAGCTCGTCTATAATCGCTGACTTTTCGTTGAGACTTGAAGTTTTGTGTTTGCGTTTAATAGGTGCCATTTTCTTTGAAAAAGTCCACACAGTCAGGAAGGACGCTGCGTATCGAATGATGCGTGTAGACATGTGAAAACTACCCATCCACTCGAACGCAGTTACAAAACGACAAGTAAAAACCTGTGCTTTTATTTTCAAGAGTCATGTAAATGAATTCGGATTACTGAATCAAGTGAAATCCGGATTACAGAGTACATCAAGGAAACGAAAATGCGGTGCGGATTACAGAAGCATGCGGATTATCGCGGGATCGGATTATCGCGACAACACTGTAGTTGATCTTTGGGATATTGGCTAGAACCTAACGGAGCCGGATTTTTCAATTTCGATCTAGAAAAAAAATAAAGGCGAAAAACGGGTTTTAGCGAACTCCGCGCGTTCCTACTACGACCCCGCGACGAACCATCCACGCTCGTCGCGTCTTCGAAAACCCGATAAATTGAAATTGACCACTAAAAAAAAAAAAAAGTGTCCATTTTTCTTCCAGTTGCCTGGTGTGGCGGAAGAAAACAAATACTTTTCTCAAAATTTTACAATGCCTGGCAGAGGCAGGCCTATCAACTAGTACAGTGATAAACGACGGTGGCGACAATTGCCGTCCTATTTCTGATTGGTTCTTTAAAATCCTATATATTCATATTGAAAACGCCGCCATTTTGTGGCTTTTCCTCTTGCTTATTTCAAATATGACTATATAGGTATAGGATTTAAATGGACATCCATAATCCATCACAAAAAATTGAAAACAACGTATTTGAAGTCAGGGACATCAAATAGGTACCATCGTCACAGCATCATTTTAGCTCTTGTACCATTATATGATTTTTAGTGTTAGATATATTAATCTGTCAAACCATGAATTAAATGCATTGAAATGAATGATGGTAGAATTATTCCAGGAGATTAATATCAATTATTTTGGTCCCAGATACTTTTGGTGACGATGGTACGTTTATATTGTTGTGTTAATTCATATTTGAAATTAGCCATGCAACACCGAATAATTTAATAAATGTTTATTAAACGAAAAATTCGTTTATTTTTGGTAATGGTATTATTTTTGAACGTATATAATAAACGACAATTTTTGAATTCGTATAATAAACAATATAAACATACATAATCTACTACATTATAGAACTACTTCGGATTATCCTCTAGATTTCAGTACCTACCTACTACTATGGTGAAATTTAACTTCCTGTCTAATTCATATAGTTATTTGAAGAATTTAAATAATTAATTACCTACATCATTTTATATTATTTGTTTATACACAATTTTTCGTAATGGTTTTATAGACGAACAGTATCGTTTATTACACGTTTTCCATAAATTATATTGGACACTTTAAGCAGGTCCTGAATTTCAAACGTATCCGTATCCGCATCGATCTGCGCATGCGCAGAATAGATACGGCGGTTGCGTTGGCCGTATAGTTACGGGCCTTGCCTCGTATCCGTATCCGGAAACGTATCTCAATTATCTTTCTGTCAAATATCACTAAAATAACTTCAACAACATAAACACAGTGCTTATAGATAAAACGAAAACCTACAAACATAGCTACAATATCTATATGTACAACACTTTTTGAGGTTTTAAAATGTTTCATCCAAGGATACGATCATTTACGTAATGTATGGCCATGCTTATTAGGACTTTCAGGCGGTTAACGTAAGTCGATGCGTTTAGGGATGCGGATACGTTGAAGAATTTAGGTTTGCTTGAAGTGTCTACTATTAAGATGGGATATTAGCCTATAATAAATGTAGGTATTTCATTAACAGTTTTTTTAATCCTTAAATCAATTATCCTGCATTGCCGATATAAGTTTTACGTACCTACCTATAATATAAATTGATATAGGTACGGGTGCAAGGTAGTAATAGAGGTAGTAATAAAGACAAAATATAGCAACAGACCTATCTATTTTTACCTGATATGCGCGCGCAACACGAGGCAATGCCTGTTTATTGGCTATCTAGTGTGAGGTGATCGTTTTGTACGTTGGGCATCGCCTTGTCCTTGTTCATTGTCCGTGGTCTGACAAGAATAAACCTAAGGTTGATATTCAACTTGACAAGTGTCATTCAAAAATTGTTTGACATTTTCATTGACAAATACGTTGCACAACACGCGGTCTTTCTCCTTCCCTTTTTTCCCGTGCAAATAAGAAGGACGGATTGCTATACGTAAGTCTAACCTAATTTGGTACGTTTTGCCTCGTCTTGCGCAATGAGCGTTCTGTGTCTTTTTTTATTTAAAGGAGGTGTGCGCCAAAAATTAAAGTTTTAGTGTAAAAAAATCCAAGAATAACTGTTCAAACCTCGTTATTCTACGATAAACCATCGCTGAGATATACCGCTTTAAAGTGTGGACGACGCTCTCGTGACGTCACGAAAACTTCGTCCAGCGGCGCTCTGCATCGAAGGTAAATTTAATTAAATCCACTTTCTCGTGCGTCGCTTGAGCTTTCGTGACGTCATAGGGTGAGATGCGGTACCTTCATAGAGCCATATCTGCGGTATTATTTGTCATAGAGGGGTGCGGATTTCACTGTTATTCTTAGATTTTTTTTCTCTTTTTTTTGAGATGAAGTTGTTTTTTTGGCGCACACCCCCTTTAATGAAGTTTTCGTATTATTACCTCTTTGTCTGGTAAAATAGATAGGTCTAATACTTCAGCTCTTTAATTTATAAATATTAATAGAATTATCTCAGCAGTCATCACGTCATCAATCAGTTTACTATTTATTTGATTTTTCGTAAATGTTTTATAAATGATTTCACGTTTCCAACTCGTCCTCGAGATTCGTCTGTGGAAACGAACGCACGTTTGGCGCGTTTCGGAAGTACGATCAGTGTTGCCAGGTCATATTTTGTTTTATCAGTAGACTACCAGTCTAAATATCAGTAGAAATCAGTAGATAGATAAGTTGCCTAGTTGAAAGGGTAAATCATAAGGGTATACTCAATTAATTATTTTAGTTACATTTTTTCAAATCATTAAATCATTAGACTGTGTATTAGACCATAGAAAATTGTATTAGAAAATCAAACACCAATACTACTTATAAGAAATAATTTATTTAGATTATGAAATATTCCTATTTTAATATGCACTACTTATGCAGTAGTCTGGTCTCTGAGAAAAACAGGTAAAACAGGCTGCAGTTAGTTGTACAGCATAACGCTATGTGACCAATTGACAAACCAACAACTACGCATGCCTTTACGCAACTGGCAAGACAAAAAGCAAGTAAACAAGGCAACAAGACACAACACAATCGCGCATGAACGCCGGGGATTCCTCAGTTAGGCCGAGTGCAATGCCTGCACTGCGAGCGTTCGAGAATGTTCCAATGAAAACCACACCGGACTGATCGGAGTAATCAGGCAGGCATCGTTCAGACTGTCCTCTGAAGTTCAGAGGACACTCCTAGCAGTCCTAGCCCAAAGGTCGCTTAGGAAATTATTGCTGTGACATTCTCATACATGATTTTAATTTGAAAAATATCATAAAAAGCGGGTAAATAATGACAACGACTTTAATCAGTAGAATTCACATTGATATCAGTATATCAATAGACCAATGGCCAAATCAGTAGATCTATTGATAAATCAGTAGACCTGGCAACACTGAGTACGATCATAGACAACAAATCGAAGCGAAGAACGACTTATTGCTCCCTGGCGGCGCAAGGCGGTCGGTTCTGTGGCTCCCTCTACGCATACCTGCTCTGCTACTTGTCTGATTGTGCTGTGCGGGCCAAAGCCACGCGCATACGAAGAAAACGCCAGCTGTCAGCCATTTTGCATTTCGCATGCATATAAAATCAATGTTTGCGATTGTAAAATTTAAGTTTTGTTTGTTTTGCAATAATTGAACAACAACAACTACTGCTTCGGTAAGTAATTTATTATTCTTCAGCCACAAATGAACTTTGCATGCCGCAATTTTGTTCTAGTAACCATTTCTGTTCGCCCCAGGTCACATTATTGTAGGTAGTTACTTTCCGCAAACCCTGTACCGCCCTTTATCGAGCCAATAGACCATAAGAACGAATTTCATGGCTTTTGAATCCTGGGGATGCGATTCAAGTGGGATGGATCTGCTCCCGAGCGGTATCAACAAAAATATCCGTACAAGGAAACAAAGATGTTTAGTTTATATAATGATAAGTTTTTTCGACACGTCGGAGCGGAGCCAGGCAAGTCCTTAAATATTAATTTGTTTTTCTGTATACAGATGCTGTGAAGCTAAGATTTGCTGGAAGGGAAACAGTCGATTTAAACGACCAGGTGCTGATAAGGGCAGTGCAAGAGAGGCTGAAATTATCTAAAAGTCGCTACACTTATAACTCGACAAAAAACGTTAATAAAACATATACATATACGTATATTGTAGACCTAGGCGGTAAAGAAGTGTCCGGGCTCGCTGAGGCTCGCCCGTACATTTCTTCTTTCAGCCTGGAAAAATCACTTTACCTGCAAGGTTTACACTTTATTTTTCTTCTGACTCCACATAATTGTAGCTAATAGCATGTTTTTTTTATATCCCTTAATTTTTTATTGGATTTGATTTAAGTGATTTTGACATCAGATTCAAGTTCACACTTTTATAACGCCCTCGTTTTGTGACAAATGTTGCCTGTCACATTTGTCCGAGCATTTGTCTGTCAACTTTTTGCAGAAATCTATATTAGTTGGTAATTTTTATTTAAAAATTTAGTTCATGAATAAAGCTGGGTTTATACAGGAAATAAAATAACATAAAATAAGAAATAAAATAAAATTAAAAGATGGCCTTATGAGAACCCATGGTGGCGTTTATACACAAAAATGAAATAAGATAAGAAATAAGCAAAAATAAAAAGTTGGTTAACTTTTAACTTCTTATTTTATTTTATGTGAAAATGCTATGTGCGCATGTCACGACGTCGATTAGATTAGACCGATGACAGTTCAGGCGCGTGGTGATTGGTTCAAAATAATTCTAATTTTATTTTATATTTTTCTGTATAAACGCCTTATTTCTTATTTTGCTTATTTGTTATGTTATTTTTTATTTCCTGTATAAATCCAGCTTAACTTCTGCTACTAGAATTTTATTAGGTAGATATACCTTGCGTTCGGTATTTTGCTCGAAGAGCAGAGCGTGCTGAGTGGAGCCGTAATCACGTGACCAGCGAGGGAACAGAGCAGTTGAGCGCTATATAAAAGTGCCAGAAATTTTAATAAACGAACGCGAATGAGGCTGCACCGAGTACACTTTTTAAATAAACGAACGGTAAAGTCATGCTCGGAGAACTCAGACCAAAATAACGAACGCACGGTTTATAATTGAAACGAACACAGCTTTTTCTGAATTGAAATTTGATCAAAATCCTTGTGTTTTGACAAACAGAAAAACATATTAATTTTGGAATATTTTGGTCAATGGTGATTCAGTAAAAGCTGTGTGTTTTATGGCATTTGCACTATTGTAGATATCTATATTCTATATTTTTTTTAAAAATAACTCTTACAATCAACAATGACTTATATTTACTTTACATACTAGAAACAATAATAATACATATATTATTAAACATATATGTATACCTATACTTAGGTTGTTGGTTGTACATATACCTATTTAAATATTTATTTGAAAATTTTACGAAACTTTCTTATTTTTTCTCTACAGGTATCATCTCGCAAAAGTTTTATTTCTATACTGTTGGTAAATTTTACTTTTATATTTCTGAAATTCATTCGAATAATCGTTCTTAGCTTGCAAAAATTAAATGGTAAATCTTTTTCCTTTTTGAATATTTTTATTTTTCTTGCCAAGTTTTGTACCATTCCTTGAAAACGAATCACCATTGTGGAATTCAAAATAAAAGTGCCGTTTTTCAATTATTCTCGACATTATTATAATTGTTCAAATAACACTGAATGATTTTTAGGGTCAAAATCAATGGGTCAAAATGCGCTGTCCTAATAGAAAGAAACAATCCTGCCCAGGACTGTGACTGACTGACGGCACGTGACGTCAGTAGCATTCCTCGACAATTGGATATTTTGGCGATTGTATGTCTTATGGGATTGAGCAATCCTATTAGAGTTTACGATTCTTGATGAAATCCTGCTGAAATCATGGGAAATGATTCAAAGTATTCCAAAAGCATCAGCAGAAAATTCTTCTGCTGTGCGTGCACTCAACCGGAATTTTCTAACACAGACCGGTTAATTTTTTGGTGAATTCCGAGAAGTGATCAAGGCGAATGACGCACGAATAAATGCTGTCAATGTCAAAAATTAAAGATCCGATCCATGGTTCGTTCTGGGTCTACTACTAATTCCTAGCCGTTCAATTCTAACATGGCCGCATGTTAGTTTACAATTTTTCTTTATTGTTTGCCAACGGAAGAACAAGAATTGGTACTGGTGTTTGGTCCCGATTATTCCGCAATTATTCAAGAATATTTAAAGCTATATTTCAAAACCCTTAGTTTACTATTTACTATAGTATCGACGCCGGTTTTAGGATATACCTAAACCCAGAAAATAATATTTGGTTCACTCTTTGTTGCATTATATTAATGTAAAGCTTTTGCGACAAAATTTTTGTTTGATATAAAATGCTTCAAGAACATCATATGACTCAAAACGGTATGCAGCGGAATCCAAGGTAAAACGCTTTCCTATTTTATTTGAGATAAAATAGAGGTGTATCTGTATGTTCGGTTATATGTTTGTAGTTGTACTAGTTAGTAATTACTCTGGGAGTTTTCATCCATAATTATTATTAATTTTTCTTTGGATTGATTTGATACATTTGAATTTAATAAATACAGGATATATATTTTTAGAATGGGGATGCAGCAAATGGGACCACCCCCCAATCAAAGAGCACCCATTATGATGAGCATGCCTGCAACGGGTATGTGTCCAGGTATATATCTAGACTAGGATTGTTTTAATTTATTTATTCCCTATCGAGTCCAAATTGCCCCTCCCTTATCAAAAAAAAAAAAAAAAAAACAGGAAAGTAAAGTAGTAGGTAGGTACCTAAACCTGAATGCATCTCAACTTTCCTTTTTTTTTTGGTGCTGTGACTTAGCTACATTTTTTAATAATTGTATCTTGCAGGTGTGCTTGTCTCAATGCCAACTGGTCCAGGACCAGCAATAATTTCTACATCAATTCCACAACAGCCGCAGCCCAAGCCTATGCAACAGCAACCTCAAGTTTACCATTATGAAGCATTGCCACCCACACAGCCCTCTCAAAACACACAACAAAATGGCAAGTCTACTCAGATTAAATATACCTACTGCGCCCTTAAATTTTTATTCAAACTTAAACTAAACAAATCAAAAGATCCTGTACTTTTCTCATGGAAACTATCTCTTTGTCAAACTAGATTGCGTTTTGAAGGGTCAGTTGTCTGCACACAGTTCAACTCTCAGCTAGTTTTCTGGAGGATAGTAAATGTCATTTTAACTAGCATAGAAACACTTATCAAATGTGAATTATCTGATGTTTTTGCACATTTTGAGCTGTTTGCTCTAAATATGTAACAATATCAACTGTGGTAGTTGGAAAAAAACATTTTTTGTAGTTGTAGTTGCAGCTGCTAATATAAAGTTTTTGTCTCTGTTTATACCCAAAAAATTTTAAATAATATCAATAATTACTGGTTTATTTGCTTGATTACAGTTCTCAAAATAGTTTGAGCTTACAGTGGTATAAAGTTTATAAGCACTATTTAATAATTACATTTATATGTGGCTTCTATTATGCATGACATGCTCAAAAATACTTACCTTAAGTAGGTACCAATTACAAGATTAAGCAAGCTTATGGTTTGTCCTGTCGGGTGTTTCATCAATAGGTATATTTGAAAGCTCAATGATTTGTTGCAACTCAGAAGGGCATGATGTTCATACAATAAGTTGATGGTTTGGGTTGGAGTTCATGGTCATCAGCGGTCATAGTAGTTACCAAAAAGGATAGTTCCATAAGGTTATGCGTGGATTATAGAAGACTGAAGGCCTTATTACCCATAACCGCGGATTGCAATACCCTTAACACCTTATCAAAATCAAAGTGGTTTTCAACTCTGGACTTGAAAAGTAGATATTGGCAGAAGGAACTCAATGAAGACTGTTTCAATTATGCAATGCACCTGGTACTTTTGAAAGGCTGATGGAGTTAATTTAGCGAGGACTCGCTGAAAAGACATGTTTGGTATACCTATTATTATTTTTCTTGACTATTTAACATTATTATTATTATTATTATTATTATTATTATTATTATTGGTTTATATTAGAAAACTATTCAAAAACAAATAAGTCTCTTGAATGCAGTCTTGCTGTCTTTCAATCATGCGATAAAATAACAAGATATTGAATAATTATTGTCCATAATTTGCATCTTTGTTCAAAATTAGCAAAAGTTCTTCAAGTTTATTTTTGAATCAACCTTTGGGATAACTGCACTTTGATACAAGGCGTTTCACTAGTTCACTACACGATGCACCAGGAAGTTTTCTGTTGAAAGTTTCACTCAGTTGACTTTTATCGTTCGTCTTGTGAAGACGTGTTTTCCAGCGTTCAGCGCTTTTCTTATTTTATTACTTGTTTAATAGGTACATATTAACTTAAGCGAAAGTGGTACCAAAGTATAGCGTTTTTTTTTCTTTTTATTAAGTGTCAACTTGTTTGAAGTTGGTCTGAGTGGGTAAATAGCAGTTTGCCATGTCCCCCATAACAGTAACAAATAATGATACTTGTAAATATCCACAATATTTGAAACTTTAATTCATTATCTCTACTACCGCAAAAAAATCGATAAGAATAATTAATTCCAAGCGCTAGTACCAACGTCACTCAAACCGCAGGATGCTTGATTAAATCAAATCAAATTAAATCAAAAAAGCTTTATTGTCTGAAGAATGTACAATTCTCTTTGACAGAGCCGATAAATGTCCTTACACATACAGTCATGGGGACCAATGGTAATACCATCTCTGAAAGAAAGCTTTCAGATTGAAAACCGACATCAGTCGCGGTTCTTGGAGTGGAAAGGGACTTATACATGGCAGAGGTCAATGAATTTAATTTTTATAACTTCAAAAAACTCAGTTTTCTTGAATTGAATACCCCATATATTTTTACATCGTGAGAAAGTTTTTTTCCTAAGCTTCTCAATAATGAATAGTTTGATGCCTTTATTTCTAAAGCGAAGCTTGGTATGAGCTCTTGAGGACGTGCTCGCCAGTTGGAAATTTTTGATTATCACTCGGTATAATGTAAAAAAAAAAATTCTATAATGGACTAAAAATTTATTGGGTAATTGAAAATCGTGGTGCAAAGCGCATCCTTTCATCTTTCCTAGTTTCGAGGATATCAGCTTTTGAAATGCTTCAGTTCCGGCTGGGACACTTGGTATTGCAGGGCAAAGGGATATGACGGCACAGCAATCCTTTGTCATAACAACTTTTCAATGAATCACGAGATCGAGTGCATTGACACATACAATGATTTAATTATAAAAACAAATTTGATTTTTGTAAGAAAACTTAAGGTGGGTTTATATAGCATGTTTTGTTTATCACTCTGCCAATGTTGAAATCACATAAAATAAGACATAAAAGTTGACCAACTTTCTTATTTCTTATGTTGTTATTTTCTGTATAAACGCCATAAGGGGTTTCCATAAGGTCAATTTTTTATCCTATGTTATGTTATGTGTCTGTAAAAACTCGCCTTTAATATGTATTTACATAATATGCGCATTCAGGTCTCCCTCTAGAAGCCCAGCAATATTTTTGGAAGCTCTCGAGGATCTTTCACTGAAATTTCCACTATTATCCTAGATAATTCTTGCAGGCGATGTTAATATCGACTGAGCGTATGCAGAATCGAGAGATACCAAAGCTTTATTAAGTCTGTTAAAATCATTTAATTTGAAAGTACATAGGTATCTGTGAACAAACCAACACGCACCACCAGTCATTCAAAAACAACGATTTTATGTGCAGTAACTTTGATTTTGGGGATTTAAATTGTAAAGTTATACCCTCAGCACTTTCAGTCCATGAAGCTTTGGCGGCAGAATTAACGTTTTTTTGTGAAATATTCAATAAAACTTTGGTAAAATGCAGAATATACAGAAAAGAATACCTTCAGGAGCTTGGCAAACCGTGTAAACTAGAGCCAGTGTTTCAATACACAGGATCCTACACAAAAGTTTCAGACAAGTGTAACAAGTATTCTTAATAAGAGCTTTCCTCTACGAAAAATAATAGCGAAACCAAAAAAAATATGGATAACTAAAGGTATCAAGGTCTCTGGAAAAAACTTAGTGTGTCTGCATAATTTCAGGAAGTTCCCTGACTGTCAGGGATTCATACAGTACTTCAATAAGTATAATAATAATGGTAATGATAATAATAATAATAAATAAGCTTTATTGTCAAAACATTTTTCAATTTCATTCACAAAGCAATACAATCTCAACCTATTTCAAGAAAAAGTTCACATCATATATGGCAATAATAACGATTCAAGATATATATTATGTCAAAACACTTGCATAAAGTTCACCACCACGATAGACATATGCCCAAACACAACATTCACCTTAAAAAAGAAAGAATCCCTCTTGACATCGATTAACACAAGTTAAAAAAATTGAAACATTCAATTTTCAAAAAATTCACCAATAATATAGTATGCCTTAGTGACTAGATGGGTCCTTGGATGGGTCTTTACCAGGTTTCTAAAATTTTCATAACTCAGACTATTCTAAATTTCCTCAGGCAGATGGTTGTTTGCTCATTATTCACTTCTGGAATCACACATCAGATATGGGTAGTGATGTAAAATTCCCGAAACATTCAAAAGCCGCGAACATTCTAGGAAACTTTCCGGGAATATTGGAAACTTCCGGGAACTTATGGAAATATTGTATTTTTTTTAATTCATAGCTAAATCAGACAAATCGTAATAGGCTTTATTTACCTATTATTGTAGTGTACTGACTATAGACTATAAACGAAGAAAAACACTATTTTTTTCTGTAAGATCAGCTAAAAATTAAACTATTTAGTAAAAACACTTTTATGGACGGTTGAATAAGGCTTTAAAGGAAAAGCTGATCCGATTAACCCAATCTCTTAGCTCTTTCTTTTTTATCTTTCTTTAATGAAGATTATTTTAAAAAAAGACAAACTGTAGGCTGTAGGTACATCAGCTGGTGATCGGGTAAATCAGATCAGCGTTTCCGTCAAGACAGTTGAACTGGGCTACGTCATCCACATAAAGTGAAAGGACGTCACTGACACCTTGTATTCGCAATAATCTTGCATTTTTATAAAATTCTTCTGGAAAGTTCTTGGAAATATTCTCGAAAGTTCTCGGAAATATTCTTTTGAGAGTTTTTGATTGAAAGTTTCCGGGAATATTCTCATTCAGGAGAACGTTTCCATTTTTTATCGGCGAATATTCTCGGAAATTTCCCAATGTTCGCGAATATTCGCATGGGAGTATTCTCGACTCACATCACTAGATATGGGATAGCTTTCTGGGGTTATTCTACACAAACATCTGTCCAGTCAGTATGTGTGCTACAATAGAGGACCCAACGTTATCTTTCTAAAAAGGCTGTAGAGAAGCTTGTCAAAATGGAAAATATTTCTGATATCCTAGTTTGGGGGCCCAAATCGCGAAAAAATGCATGCTAAATTTGCCATCATTTTCAATGTCCCCGGTGTTACAACTTTGAAAAAGACTGTGAATTTTTATTTTTTGAGTCAGTTTCTTTGATTTATAAAAAGTTCTCTGGTTTTGTACAAGACAGAAACTACAATCTAAGGTAAAATTGCCTACCGCTGCCAATACCAAAGTTTTCCCTCACAAAAAAACTCAATAATTTATGAAAGTGAAAAAATGTTTAGCCATCTACCTCAAGACATAACAGATAGAGGCTGCCATGAAGGCTTTAGTATGTCTGTGAAAAACTATCCAGTCTCAGTTCTGATTGTATTTCAAATGTGGTAGTTAGTGTTATTGCTTTATAAGCAAGTCAGTTAACGTAAATGTTTTGATGTGTTCTTAACTGTCAATTTGTTCTTATCTTGTGGTTGTTTAGTTTAGGGCTGGTTTGACAATTCAAGTATATCCTGAGTATAGGCTATACCTAGAGTAAAAGTTCATTTTTGAGTTCTAAAATGAACTTTTATTCTAGGTATGACCTATACTAAGGATATACTTGAATTGTCGAACTGGCCTTTAGATTCGATTTTCAATATTGTTATCTCTTTTATAGATCTGACCTAAATTTAAAGTAACAACTGAAAATGTGTAAAGGTGTCCTTGCGATGGAATAATTAGGTATTACATTAATTTTAAGTATTAACCGAGGTATTAACTATAAGCCATTACTTATTGCTTTGTCAACGAAATTGTGAAATTTTTGGACAAAAAGCTTATTTGAATTGAATTGAATACCTTTTGACATTTTTCTTAAAGTTGTATATCCTTTACAAAATATGGATTCCACATTACTTGGCAGTATCCACAGTAAAAAAGTTTCAGACTGATGAGAGATTTATGCAGTTTCAGTATTGATTCAGCAGAACCGTTCTGAAAGGCTTTCAGTACAAGATAAGTGAATAAATCAGGCATTTTCACTATTTTTCAGACCCAGACCATCAACAGCAACCGCCACATATAAGCAACCAGGAGCAACAACAAATGAGTCAACTTAGTCCCAACACTAATACTGCTTCTGCACCCATCCCTCCTTTGGCAAACATAAAAGAAAAAACACCCATGTGCTTGGTAAATGAATTAGGTAAGTTTCAATCTAATTGAATCAACTGTTAATAACATTATTTTGAAATAATAATTGAGCTTTAAGTATTTCAAAATCTTCTTCACATGGAAGTGAAATGTGCTCACATTAGAAAATATCTGTACATAAAATCTAAAATGCTGAAAAATTGCACTTTTTTTCACATTGCAAGAAAAAAATAATTTCGTTGCTAGATTGTGTCGTCTGTTACTCCAGTTTCAGGCGAAAATTGCGAATGAGAACGAAAAAGGGTACTGTTGCAAATCACCTGAAAAGAATAAGGTTAATCTGCTAGAAACAGCTTTTGCGCGAAGATTTGCAGTTTTCTTCCAGAAAATTGATGAAAATGAGTTTGAAATGCTTCGAGAAAGTAATTGCCAAAGGGTAATTCCATCAATTAGCCACCAACGAGTGCCCCTCATATCCTCATTTCTATTTTATTTTTTAACTGTGACTTGACAAAGACCTAAGAAGTCCAAAAATCAATACTTTTTTTTTCTTACTCCCCACCTATTTCTTGAAGACCATGCAAAATTTACCATGCACTAACTAAACAACACATCTTTAACTCATGTCGACCAACAAAATGATCTTGGCATTATTATAACCTCCGATTTAAAATGGGAGTCGCATGTCAACAAAGTTGTAAAAAAGTCAAACACTCTCATTTACTTCATTCAAAAAGCCTTCTCAGATAGATCCATAGAAACAATAATGCAATTGCATAAAACATATATTAGACCAAAACTTGAGTATGGAGGGACGATATGGAATCCATATTTTGCAAAAGATATAGAGTTTTTAGAAAGAGTTCAGAGGCGGGTCACAAAAATCCCAGTAGAATTGGCAAATTTGGAATACCCGGAAAGACTGAGGAGACTAAATCTAACAACACTAAGGGAAAGACGTTTGAGAGGAGACCTTATAGAGACATATAAGATATTGCTGCCATATTACCAAACAAACCTTAATATATTTCATGCAAATACAAATATACAGCTAAGAGGTCATAGTAAGAAATTGGAGAAGGAAAGAAATGCCAAACTTCCCAGAAAAAACTTTTTAAGTAATAGAATAGTTTATCATTGGAATGCGCTATCTGAGGATGAGGATACTGTTTGTGCTCCAAGTATCAATTCTTTTAAAAATAGACTTGACACCCAACGTGACACACTAGAAAACATTGTTTCGCATTTCGGCCAGTAATGAGTTATTAGTGGAAATATAGAATGAAAACTATTGTGAAATGTAACCATCAAATAATCAACAGTTTCATCGGTCATAACCGCCTACTGTTGTATATCGTAATCGTAATCGTAAAATCTTATAAGAAGCACACTGCAAGAATTGCTCCAAATCCAACCTTATTTTGGCTCTTACTAAAAAATGATTTGCCCACAAGCTATTGCTCTTAGAACTCTTACTTACTCCCTCGTTTGTCCCTATGTTTTTTTCTTGTTTGCTTATCACATAGTCAATAATAGTTTTCAGGTATGTTAATTTTTACTAGCATTAAAAAAATCTTGAATAATCTACGTAGGTACTTTTTTGTTACCTTATTACATAAAATGCCAAAGTATATTCGATTTGTACTAAGTAATAGGAAAAAACGTGGCATCCATGCTAAATGGAAATTTCCCATTAATTAATTTAATTATCTGATGAAAATTTTGCATTCATGTATCTGCGCCAAGAATATCATAACCTGCTATATTCCCGGCACGTGAAAGTGGCCTGTCACTAGAAGATTTTGACGGAGCGAGTTGTATAATACTTTTAGATGGAAAACCTGTATTAATACGAAAATATATCTATATTTCAGCAAGATACAATAAGATCCAACATCAATATCGTCTAACTGGTGAACAAGGGCCAGCACACAAGAAAGTATTTACTGTAACTTTGAAGCTTGGGAAAGAAGAATATGAAGCTGAGGGCCCTAGCATCAAAAAGGCCCAACACTCTGCAGCTGCTAAAGCATTAACCAAGACAGAATTTAAGCATCCTCCACCAAAAACTATAATTAATAGGCCTGGCAATCGGCAGCAGACTGCTGGCATTGTTACTCCAACTGTGGAACTCAATGCTATGGCTATGAAAAGAGGGGAAAGGGCTGTGTATGTGATGGATGGCAGTGTAGCACCACATCAGGTAAGGATTGCTGTAATTACATGTATTTATAGATTTTTTTAATGAAAAAATGTAGTTTTGTTTTATCTGTTGGTTTTTTTTTTAAATTTGCATTCCACATTTGACATTAGTTTTTTGCATTTTAGATAGAACGCATTTTTTTTTTTTTTTTTTTCAAGTTGGTTTCTTATGCCAGTATTATTGGGAATGTAAATCTTATTTTAGACATTCTCAGTCAGCTGAATTTCTGTGCTCACCTTTGTTATGGGAGTTTGAAAAATGTTTCAAATGCCCCAGCAATAATAGGACAGGCAGTTGCGAGGTATTTGAGGCCGAATGTCAGAAAAGACAATTTATGGGTTATTAAAACTCATAGACCAGAAAGATATTTTATGTTTTTTTTTGTAGAACCAACCATTTCAGTAATAGAGCAGAGAATGTAGAGTAGCTACTAAATAACTATGTATTCATTTGAACACCAGCTTATGGTACCGTTTTTAACATGGTTTCCTGGTATTTACAAACAGTATTGCAAAACAAACTTTGCAAATTGTTCTATAATTAGGTATAATAAGTATGGACCCTAAAATGAAATAATGCACCTCTCAGTTACTGAGTAAGTGCACAGTATCAGAAAATAATATTTTATCGTCAGTGTTGTTGATAATGGAACCATTAATTTCATTCAAATAATTGGCCCTGATGATACTTAATGGAGTGCTTCTATTTCATCGTTGAACATTTGGCTCATTTTCTATTTCTCTAATACAAAATCATCAACATATTCTATGCCATTAGATTATACCATAGATTATAGCATGGATTACCAGCAAAACCATGTAAAAAAATATAGTTTTGTGTTCTACCTTCGAGATAGTGCAAAAAATGCATATTTGTTATTCGGTCCCTATGTTATCTGCGCTGTACATTGAAAACGGTTGGTTCTGTTGTCTAGGAAATTATTATCTACATTGACCTGCTATACATAGAAAGCGATATTTTTGACAATAGTACATTGACGATTAGTACACTGACGATTCCGACGAGTGTGAAATTATTGGCCTGAGCGTAACGAGAACAGATTTCATACGAGTCGAAATTGTCTTCCGCCCGTGGTGCACAGAGTACTTTTTGCACAACTCTTTTGGGAATATTTTTAATAGACAGTATTTATATCAAATTGAAAAGATACTGAGAATGAATGAAAATCAACACTCTGTCAAACTTCGAACTTTCAACAGTTGCTTAAAAAGGTCTAACAAAAGCGTATACAAAAATCAAGTCAACTGAGAAGTTCTAAGAATATTAAATATCTAATATAGCTGTTGTATCAATGTTTATAGTGTTAGTTCTAAGTATTAGCTCCAATAGGTCTGTACGGGCTGTATCCGCCCTCATATTCTGATTCGGAAATCAATAGCTACATATATCCAGTGAAATATAAGCATGTTAAACTTTATTGATTTTTTCAAAATCATGGATAAGTTGAAATCAACTGGCATTTGCAAAAGTGGAAAAAATCAATTGCTCGTCCTAATTTGCAAGATTTGATGTTTGATGAAGTGTTAACATACCTACTCTAATTCGGTTCAACCTGGAATGCAACCAATATTACTATTCATTGACGTCTATATGTCTGTGAATAATTTGTATGTTATTAAAATTATTATTAAATGTCAAAACAAAAAATCGTAAATCTCAAATAAACGTGAAGACAGAGGAACAAAAAATTACATTTTTATTTTGAATCCCTTTAGTAACAAGTCTTGTTTTAGGGTTATATGAACCAACCAGGCTATTTTCCAAGACACAGTTTGAATTATCCACAGGCCCAACCGAGATACGGCGGCTATGACGCACGCCGAAACGTCAGGAACCATTATCCATATGACAATCGGTACTACGGGCAGTACCGACCAGGGACGCCTCATAATCAAGGGGACCCTTACAACGTGCGACTTCGTGTTGGAGACCGGGAGTATCCAGGTACTACTGACTATGGTAATTTACATTTTCTATTGACGTTGTAGATACAAGTATTCGGTATTGGTATAGGGCAGATTTATAGCATAGTGAGTCCGGAATCAAGATTTGAGAAAATCTAGAGTGTAAAGGCAAACCACATACTGAACACTTTAAAGAGAGAAGGAGATAGAATAACTCGAATTCTCGGAAATCTGTTGAAATAGTATTTATTACAGATGTCAAAATTTTTCTCTTACACATTTGACAGATGTTTTAAGGAATTGACAGTTTCATTTTTTTATCTTATGTGTTTTGTATTAGTTTTTTTTTTTTTTTTTTGCTGCGGACGCTTCCAGATTGGAAGGCCAATAAAAAATGTCAATATCTTAAAATTGATGGCACATTTAGTTTTACTGTAAAATAATGTATAGTATTCGCCAACCTACATCTAACAGTAAGGATGTTCAAAAGGAAACACTCGGTAACGACGCATGTCATGAAAAAATTGTTGTAAACGTTCAGTTACTATGATTTAAAACTAATTTTGCTCAAAAATATGTGCATTAGGGCAAAATAGGTCTCAATAATTTGATTACAAAATAGTTATTTATGCCATTATGCCAAGAAGTTTGTATTTAACAAAAAAAAAAAAAAAAAAAACCTTTTGGGCTGAATGGCATAAATTTCATCTTCAATAGACTGCAATGCTTCCTTCAACAACTAAATCATTGATTTGATAAAAGGCTGTCACACTATAATTCACGACGTATGTCGAGTCTCTTCAGACTATGGTGAAGCTAGCAGCCTTGTGCAGCAGCCGAAAATGTGAAGATAGCAGCCACTTATTGGCAGCACTTTTCAAAAATATAGTTTATTTACAAATTTCATGCACGTCCTAATTAAATACCACTTGCGCGAAGAAATACCTGTCTGAACAACATAAAAAAACTATCCCTAATAAAATACTAATACGTATGAAACAACTTTTTCACAGATAATGTTCTTGTTATTAAATAGGTAAGAAGAACTAAAAGTTTTTTTATTTATCTAATGGTATGTATGTATGATGTGTGTACCTTGATAGGTACTAATTTACATATTCAAATTTAATTTAAAACAATTTTGATATTAATCTATAGGTACCTACCGACTTGAACTTATTGAGTGAAACAAAATGTTTTCAAAAACTGGCAAAATATTTCATACTCTAACAGCAGACTTGTGACCGATTTCAATTTTGAATCGAACTTAAACGACTCGAGCAAATACCCAACGTTAAATGAAAAGATACCAAATGCCAAAATTCACAGCAGAATCTTTAGCCAATAAAGTTTAAAAGATTATCTGTTGAAAAAATAATCTCAAAACGATAATAAAAACAGGACAAAGATCTTCGTTTTTGCCAATCGAATTGCAAAAAGGAAAAGGAAAAAAAATTGATAGCTCAACGAAAGACAATCTATAAGATCATAAACCTGACTCGCACAGTGATAAAAATCAATCAATTATGTACTTACCTCCCTACTGCACTGGACCAATTTGAATGTTACTTCTTCTATAAGACACTGTCTAGGGACAAAAAATAAGTCCAAGTATTATTGCGGGAGTTCGCTCTTTTTCTTCAAGAAGCTAATGATGCTATGCTCTAGAGTGTTCCACCAGATTTATGAGAACTAGTTTTAATTAACCTTTGAATATTTTTTGACACTTAAATATAAAGTTTCTTTAGGCCATGGACCCACTGTCCAATCCGCGAGACATGACGCAGCTGCAAAGGCCATCGATCATATCAAACAGTTGGGGGGCAACGATGGGAACGATAAGGCAGGAAATGAAAATCCGCAAGTAACTGAAGAAACAACAAATTCACCACAGAATGATGTTAATTCAGAATTGAAATCACCAATATCTCTTGTCTACGAAATTGCGTTGAAGAGAAATCTGAATGTTCTCTTTGAGGTTCTTAGTGAGAAGGTATGGTAAACTTGAAATTTTGGTTGTCATCAAGTGGATAAAAAAATCATGTTTTTAGGGTCCACCACATATGAAAGTGTTTATAACACAATGCAGAGTGGGCAATTTTCTTGCGGAAGGCGAAGGTAACGGTAAAAAAATTTCTAAGAAAAGAGCAGCAGAAAAAATGCTTGAAGAATTGTCCAAACTACCGCCGCTGCCCAATTCAAATAACATATCTCAACTTAAGCGGAAACGGGTTACCAATAAAAAGAAAACTAGAAACCTTATCAAGGTAACATTATATATTTTTGCTAATTAACCATTAAGGAGTTTGATCTTTATTAGGTTAACGTGGATAAACCTTCTGAAACCACAGAAGAAATAAATCCAATATCTCGCTTGATTCAAATTCAACAAGCCAATAAGGAGCGGGAACCCGTTTATACTGTTCTGGAGGAACGTGGTGCTCCTAGGCGTAGAGAATTTGTTATTGAAGCATCTGTTAATGGACATTCTTGTACTGGAGTGGGCCCAAACAAAAAGGTTAGACCCATTTCTACACTCGATTCCGTGAAAAGTATGTAAGCCACCTGGTTTTACTAAAACTTTGAATTTAGGAGTAGACTTTTTATTCTATTTGTAGCATATTCTCCTCAGCCAAATCTCTCATAAAGTCCCATCCCAATCACTTAGAAAAAAAAAATAAGTCTTTTCTGTGGGTGAATACAGAACTACTAACTAATTATGTTGCGTCATTCTCCAACCCTTCATCCCCTACTGATTTCAAAACCAATTTGATTATTATAGAACAATTTATTAAGTCCCTACTAAAAAATGGCAGTTGTACTCCATACAAAATCTTGAGAAAAAGGATGAAAATCTTGCTTTTACTAAGTCTTTTGACATCTTCAACTCTTGATCTCCTACGGATTTCAAAACCAACTCGAAGTAGTATTCTATAACACTATCAAGTCCTTGCTAAAAGATGGTAGTGATACTCCATCCAAAATCTTCAGAAAAAGGATAATTACCTTATTTTTATTCAGTTTTTTGAAATTTTCCCTACCCTTCATCCCCTACCGATTCCAAAACCAATTGAGATAGTTTTCTAAAACAACCTGTCAAAAGATGGTAGTAATATCCTATCCGAAATCTCAAGAAAAAGGATAAAAATCTTGATACTACCAACCTATCATTTCCTACTCATTTGAAAACTAATTTCAGGCAGTACTCTAGAACTCTTTCTTAAGTCCCTGCTTATGGATGATAGTGGATGTCATCCAGAATTTCGCGAAAAAAATAACAAGTTCCTTTTTATTGAGAAATTCAAATGTACATTCTGTACCATTTTATTATATCATAAGTTATTATATGTATTAATAATATAAGCGTGCTCTGCAGTCCATAATTGAGGCTATCTTCACGCACGTTTTAAAAACAATTTCATTACTATTAATTTAATACCATACCAGCGATTTTGTGTTACTAAAGTTATAGAAAAAATGTAAGGAGTTTTGCTAACTATTTTTTCAAGTCCTCTAGACAATATTTCTTCCAGTAGCTAGTACGTATTTCGCTTTGTTTGAACACACGAATCTCTAATTTTATGAAAAATATCCTTATTTTTTTCCAAAGTTGCCATTTGAAAACAAATTTTATTTTTTTTTTGTTTTTTTGTGCATCAAATTTAGCACTCCGGTGAACAACTCTATTTTAATGCAAATTAAAAGTACCTACCAACACACAAACATAAATGTTCATAATAATCAAAGTTTTAACAACTGCCCTTTGTCTCTGTCTTAAATGTGTTTTAAATGTTTCAACATATTTGATTAATATCCCTCTTTATGTTATGTAATGACACTGAAGAAGGTGCTTCAAGTCAAAACGATTGTCAGTTTTAAATAGAAAATAAACTAATGAGGACAAAGTTGTAAAGGTTATTTTCAAGAACCAGAATTCCCAAGAAAAACAAACCACATTTTTTTTATCAAATAGTTCAAGAATGTCTACTGAAATAATTTATATACCTTTATTTATTGATAAACGTGTTTTAATAGGTTGCCAAACGTAATGCTGCTGATGCGCTCCTATCTGAGCTTGGATACATCACAACCACATCTAAATCTCCTCAGCAAAAAAATGAAAAAGAAGATCAATCCGCTAGTCAAAATGACAAAAACCGTAAGGTTACTTTTGTCGAAGAAAAAAGTGAAAATCAACAATCTCAAAATGTAGGTGGTAGTGGTGGTCGACAACTGGTTCCTGGTGTTTTACTGGTTACCGAACAGAATGCCGGATTTTCCAAACCTAAAGCTGATACCACTGAATGTTCAAAACCGATACAGACAACTCCATTGAAAAATCCTCCATCTGGAGTTCGATCTAAGGATCAGCTGATGTATTTAGCCCAACTCATGAACATTCAGGTAATTTAATACACTATCTATAGCTAACCCCAAGAGACTGGCAAATAACATTTGCTATTAGTGAAATTTGCTCTAGATTTTCCTTAAAAGTGCTTAATTTTGGCTCTTTCTTCTGATATCCAGAGAAAATGCAAAATGAGCGTAAAATTGCCTTTCGACAATATTTTCTGCAATTTTTTTATTTTTTTTCCATCATAATTTTCAAATAGCTCGTTTAAAACCACACAATGGTCTAGATTTGCCCTAGAAGTGCTTTCTTTTGGCTTTTCCCATTGGCGTTTCAACGACAGTTTCTGCGATTTTTCAATTATTTTCAATAAGAATCACTCTAAGGTAATCTTAAAGAGCCCATTCAACTAAAAAAACAACATGATTTCGAGGTTATAGTCATACAGATCCTTCCGTCGGCGTATTTTTGATTCAAAACTGCATATATAACCATAAAATGGTTTGAAATTTCTCATGAAAGTGCTTTTTTCTTCCGAAATTTAACAAAAGAAGTTAGAGCTAATAGTCATACAGATCCTTTTGTAGGCATATTGTTGGTTCAAAATTGCATTTAAAACCAAGTTTCAAACCACAAAATGGTCTAAATTTGTCCTAAAAGTGCTTTCTTTTCGCTTTTTCTATTGAAATATCCAGAAAAATAGTCCAAAATTAGTGTAAAATTGCATTTCAACAACATTTTTTGTGATTTCCTAATTCTTTTGAATAGAAATCCATCCAAAGTAGAATTTTTCATAGTTCGAACTCTTTCGTAGGCATATTTTAGATTCAAAATTGCATTCAAAACCATAAAATGGCCTAAAATGCTACTAAAAGTCTAAAAGTGATTCCTGTTGGCTTTTTCTATTAAGACATTAGGATGTAAATGTCCAAAACGAGTGTAAAATTGCATTTCGACGATATTTTCTACGATTTTCCACTTCTTCTCAATCAATATTGACATCCTGTACATAATTTGCAAGGTGATTTCTAAAACACACCCTTTAAGGACCATATGGGTGTGTATCTAACTGTAATAGACTTTCTCCAATCTTTCGAAGTCTGATATAAATCTGATGTTTGCTTTAAAGTGGTGGAAGACCAGAATAAGTGTCCGATTGATTATACTAGTCCCCGAATTACTTTATTAGTGTCCATAGTATTTTGAAACGGAATATTATAAAAACAAATTTTTCTCCATAATAATTCTTATTTCCAGGTTCATTTCTCTGATTTCCCAAAAGCTAATCACGAGATGTATCTAACACTAGTCTCATTGGGTACAAATCCACCACAGGTCTGCCATGGTGAAGGTCCAACAACTGAAGCCTCCCACGAAAAGGCTGCATTGGAAGCCCTTAAAGTGCTTTCTGAATTGGGCCTTGATATTGCAGCCACCAAGGAGAATCCACAGAATAATGAGTAAATACATTTTGTCTTTTTAGTAAAGTATCTTCCATTTTAATCTCACATTCTTCACAAATATAAATTCATAAAATGCTCTTCTAAGAAGGCGACGATGTTTATAAATGTGCTTGTTTTACAGTTCTTATATTATTAAAATTATGAAGTATTTATTCATATGAGCTAATTTTTATCTTGATTTCTCATTGTTATTGATAGATATAGATAAGAAATCTGTATTAATTACCTAAAGTATTTTTGAAACTTGGATACCTAAATATTATGCTATTCGATATGAATGTAAAACAAGCTAACAGAATATTTCAAGGATTCATTATTGACATTTAATTAAAAAGGAAAAAAAATGAACTCTATGTAGCTATACCAATGAGTAGGATTAGGTTGGGCGCTTTTTTTCATTCATCGATGGACCCATCTGCTGCCACCATTATGAGACAGCCATTCCGATTTTGTAGACAAAGATAGACTGGTCATCAATGGATCCATCAGTGAATAAAAGAAAGCGCCTGTTATTGAATAAACCGTTTATTTTTTTGACTTGTTACAGATCGATAGCTGGTTGAAAAAAAATTTAGGCATAATTTTTAATATTCAGAAACAAATGACTTCAAGCTTTTTTGAAATGTGTTTATCTGACGATCTATATCATTGCGTGCACCATCCTCGGAACTAAACATGCAAAAAACAAGACTGTTTTATAACATCACAAAATCGTTGAATTCTTTGGTTCTGTTGATCAGTAATATTAGAGTAACTGAAAGACAGGATATCTGGCTAGAGCAATGTTTCGTATGTATTCGAACGCTGTTGCAGGAATGAGTATATAACGGGTGATTGATGGTCGATGGTAGGTTAGACACTTAGGAAAAACGGAATGTTGTATGTTTTTGACAAATTGCATGCCCAAGAAATTCCTCCTGATCTATCATTCTAAAATAATTTCAACGCTGCGACGTTGCCGCTTTCACCAAAAAGTAATATAAAGTTTAATATTTTGAATGAAACACCTTGTATATTATTGCATTTTTCGCTCCGCTATTACTTTCTGATTATTTTTGTATGATACTGTCCTATACCTATCTTTAGTGATTTTCGACTTATTAATTAATTTCTTTATTTTTTCTTCAAAGCATAGCTCTAGTTAAATTTGTGTTACTATGTCGGTGACACTCGTAGAAAGTTCAAATTTTGGAGATAACCTAGGGAGGTCCTACATAGTACTTTTGAGCAAGAAAATTTGTTCTACATTATACAGGGTTGGTCAAAATTAGTAATTGTGCTACCAGGTACAAAACTGATGAAAAGTGCACTTTTTTGAATAGAGCACCCTGTATATTATGAAATATTATAAAAGGCAATAAAAATCCCCTACAAATGATGTAGTATGTTCCTATACCTAAATAGTAAGGTTTCGGAAATACGCAAGTTTCTGTTGGAATTGGATTATTTTGGGATATTTGTCTAATGGCTTTTCCGACTGGTAGATTTAATTCGCACTGAGTGTATTTCCATCTCTTTCTCTCAGCCTGATGAAGAAACAGATAGAAATAAATTTTCTTTGCACTCATTCTACCAACCGGAAACCCCATTCAATAGCTATGAAAAAAAGATTTTCTACAAAAGCAGGTGATGGCAAATACTGAAACCATGATGACCATTCACCATTAAGGATTGAAAATAAATGCATACGATGGTCCACTCTTCACAATGTGTCATACGCACAAATATTTTTTTTGTGTGTGTTTTTGTCTCTCTCCTACTCACAATGCTTTTGACAGTTCAATCCAATGACGTTACAAAAGTCTATGGCATCTATAGAAGTTACCATAGGCACCTATGAAAGTGGACCATCCATTTTAGCTCCTGTCAGTTTTGATATTGTAGAAAATCACGTGGTTTGGATCACCTAATATGTTTCATCGTGACCGGTTGGTAAAATGAGTGCAAAGAAAATGTATTTCTATCTGTTTCTTCAACAGGCTGAGAGAAAGAGATGGAAATACACTCAAGTAAGCATGACATGCACAAAGGTGCTGAGTGACTGTATTTGCATTGTTATATTTTTTGGTATCTCCAGGTAAAGTTATTTCTTGATCTAAGGCTTTTGATCTAAGGCTTGATCTAAGGTTACTGTGTTTAAAATCCACTTTGGAACTACTGCAATATTTGAAATTCTATTTTCTATCTCATCATTATAGAATAGAGACCAAAAAGAAAAAGCATTAAGAACTGAACAGAGAACTACACAGCTTTCCTTGTTATACATATATGAGAAGTTTCATAGCTGTATTCATAATTATTATTCCTAAGCTATAATATTTTATACCTGTGTTGTTTCAGTTTCTTGATATCAATTGTGATTTGAAATATAATTCAGTATTCTACAGTTCATTTGAAATTGGTAGGTGAAGTGGAATTATTCATGTGTGACGGCAGCCGGCAACGGCACCAGCAGACCAAACGTCAAGTTTATGAATTGGCCTTAAAAATGATACAATTCTTAATAGCTAAGAGTTTATATACAATAATTTAACAACAATTTTCAATAATTTACCAGCCTATCAAATTGGTTAACCAAGAGTATGATTGATTGATGATATGATTGATATGGATAATCAAATAAACAAAGCTCAGAAAAGTTTGTTGTATTATATAAGTACTTTATGAAAGTGAAGCCATCGCTATATCATTTTTATTCAGTGTTCTTCTTTATTATCATTGGTAAAGAATACATATTCAATTTCTAAGAGTTCCATGTGGCCATGTAAAAAAATTTGTTATTTTTTTCATTTCTTGAATAACTTAGAATTACCTACTTAAGGTCTTATTTATGTGATGTCATTTGAACTTATAAAAATGATTTCATATACATATAATTATAATTCTGGTTATTGATGCTTTTGGCACTAGTCTATATGTATAGTGCCCACCGAATTTCGTTTAGGTTATGGGGCGACCGAAAACGGAATCGGCCAGTAGTTCAGAATTGGTTGTTTCTAGTTAATAATTTATTTTCTATTGTATCCATTGCTAGTTGCTAAATCTTTTGACATTACTTTTTGGATGTCCTTCTATATTTATTGTATCGGGCTTTTAAATAAGAAGTCAATTAGAGTATGTTGTGTATTCTATTACTTCTGAAATGTATAATAAAGTGTGTTGATGAAATCACGAGTTGTTGCTGGGTCAGCTTTCAGACGATTTTAGTTTACTTCTCATTTGAAGGCCCTGAATGTTTCTTTTACTTGTTACCATGTCTATAGCAAGTCTAAACATTGTGTATAATTTTTATATTTATTTTATTTATTTATTTCTAGTTATAGAATTGCTTATTCGCATAATTGAATTTTTCACTTTTAGTAGAAGGAATTCATCCCCATAAAGATTGTCAAGATATAAAAAGAGTAGATATTTTAGATGCAAATAATTAATATTGTGAATACATTCGGCAATTCTGATCTGCTGATTCCACCTAATTTGTAGATTGATTTCATTATTCCGGGGCTTTTTTTATTTTTACTTTTTACACAAATATTTATTGTACAGGTTTTATATTGTAATACTTTTTTGTTTATTTTTTTTTTTTAATACAAAATTATATTGATTATAAAATTTATATATTATATTGATGCGTATTATAATTGATTATTTATTGTGATTTGAGCGGTAATTTTGCAACTATGTACTTTATTGTAGGTAAGAATTTTTACCTTATAATTCGGAGCGGGTGCTTTTTGAATCCAATTGTTAATTATCAAACTTACTAAGCTCTTGCTGCGTATTTGGGAATAGAATATAGGTTCCCTACGGAATCTACTTCTTGCCTCGTTTTGAAATCAATAAACATATACTCACATATTATTTGTTTTATTGCCTTTGGACCCTTCGAACAACACCCAAATAAAGAAAAAATGAACGTCTTAAGGATCGAGTGTATTGAATATTTTTTTTTTTTTTATTGCAACTTTTAGCAAAAATACAATATGAAAATTTGCTTCAACTGAATTTAGAACACCTAAATGAAATACAATTTGTAGACACAATGCATAGCCCCAATGATTGGTAATGGGTTAGATTGATTGAGATTAACAGCCAATCCAATTTTACCTTTTCTATTTTGAAAAATATAATTATTAAAATATTCGATTTTTGATATTATTTGAAATGAACATACCTATCTCTTTTATTTTTGAGCTGTCGAGAAAATATTATTTGGAAAACTCCTGTATTTTTTTAAGTTCCACGTTATTTAAAAATAAAAACTCTAACCTAGAACACACTCTGTATTCACCCTATATACAGCAAAAAAGCGCGCCAGATTTAATACATTAAAAAAGGAGCTCTATTTTTTTTTAAATATCTTTAGAATCAAGATGAACCGGTTGGATCAAACCTTCTCCATCTGGGTATGGAAAATGACAAAGGGCGGCATGGCCCCCTCTACTTTGATGGCATGCCAAAACTCTTTTTCGAGCAATTCAAATTTGGCGCGCTTTTTGAATCATCCTATACTACGATACTGTGTTATTTACGAGCATGCGCGTCGATGCGAATGGAAACCATCGACATAAATGTAGGTATGTGTACACATAACACATATACTGTTATACACGCATCTGTATACGTACATATGTACATAGAGGGGCTTTCATTTCGAAATTTGCCACCCACGTTATCTGCCTAAGGAGACAGATTTCTGTCATTTCCCGTCAACAAATTAACGCACCCCCTCAATAAATTTGTTGACATGCATGTTTCGGCGAGTTCTAGAAATCTGTCTATTTACGCAGATAACGTGAGTGGTAAGTTTTGAAATGAAAGCCCTGTACATATTTACGTATAATATGCATAAGGCTATTTTCGAAATTCTCGAATGTAGGGCTGAGAAATCTTACCTCTTTAGGACAATGTGACCATTCAATTGTAGTTATATTTACCAAACTACAGTAAAAAAATCAACTGGTTATAAAGCGTTTTTTATGAGCCAGTAATTGCTACATTTTTGAGAAAGGGGACACTGCAGACCAAACCATTTATTTTGTGGCTCAAATCGAATTTCGAATTATTTATTAAATTATCTCATTATTCACCTGAAAAATTAACTGTTAACTGTTAATAATTACATTTGCATAACCACCTAATCAAGGTATTTTACATGTGCTCACTAGCTCACTAGTGCTCACTCTAGTAGCTACTACTTTTGCAACTTTTCGCAACAGAAAAGTTAGGCGTATTATCAATACGAAGATGCTCGAGAAGATTTAGCCGGTGATTGATGAATAAAGTATTACCGTGAAATCGACAACTTTCGAGTGTAGGACTGGAGAAATGTACCTCTTTATTTGTAGGACAGTGTAACCATTTAATTGTAGTAATATTTACTAAGCTACATTAAAAAAATCAACTGGTTATAAATCATTTTTTATGTAACGTATCTGCTACATGTTTGAGAAGGGAGACAGCCTAGACCAAACCATTTATTTTGTCGAACAAATGTTGTTTCATATTATTTATGAAACTATCTCAACATTCAGCTACAAAATTAACTGTTATTATTTACATTTGTATGATCACCAAATAGACATGTTTTCCACCTGCGCACAGGGCCGTGCATAGGGGGGTGCGGCCGGTACAAATTACCAGGGCCCGGATTCCGTAGGGGCCCGGTCCAACATCTCGAAAAAAAAGTTTTATGGTTGAAACTATTTATTTTTTTCAACTCACTTTCGCATATATAGTCCAACAAATACCATTTTAAAGTCACGTGATTTTTCTCTATCCTTGTTGAATACATCTCAAACAGCGGTGATAGTAAAATTGACAAAAAAATTGCTGTCTAATTATTATTCTTCATAATATTCTTACCTGAAATAGAATCCGTCACTGTTATCAATTAGTTTGTCAAAGTTATTTTCGAAAATAATACAATGAACAAACACAGCTAATAATTTTGACTATATTAACCTTTTTCCAACTCAAAAAGAAGCAAATAGAAAACGGGTACCTAGTTTAAGTTCAGAATGTATTACAACAGACAGCAGATACGACAAAAGTGAGTCTCGCAACAATTGCAAGTATTAAAATTGCCCTCTGATTGGTTAATACTACTTCAGAAACGCGTTTGTAAAATGCTAGTGGGAACATATCCTAAAATTCAATAGTAATTAATCACCAGTAGCATTTTGTAGGTGATATGAACGACATAATCAATGGACATACGTTTTTTGCCACCAGTATCACGTGACTTTAAAATGGTATTTGTCGGACTTTACCCACAGTGTTTCAGAAAAGCTGGTCATGGTCCAACTCTCTTCATTCGAATGGAATATCCTAAATATTATTCAATATTCGGATTCTATGTAAAATTCTGAGCAGATTTCATGTGATATACCCTATAATCTGTTTTGAGTGTTTTGGAAATATTGACATCAGTTAAAAAAAAATTTTTCTCCAAACGTCAAAAAAACATAACTTTGTCAACACCTGTCAAGATGGTAGAAATTCAATTTCTATGTTGCTAGGCAAATCCAGGAGGTTAACACCTGTCGAGGTGGTAGAAATTTAATTTCTATGCTGCTTGGCAAAAGTACTTTTGGTGCCGCTGGAGCGGCAGTAAAAGTACTTTTAGTGCCGCTTGTACTTTTACTGCCGCTCAACCATCCAGTTACCCCCGAGCTTACCACATTCGTTTGGAGAAAAAATAGCGTGTTGCATACGGAGTAGAAGCACTTTTTTGTGCTTCAGCAGTATTGCAAGCCTCACTACGTTCGGCTCGCAAACCTACTGCTTCAGCACAAAAAAGTAAAGCTTCTACTCCTAATACAACAATATACTATTCTATGAGTATTGAATAATATGCGTAATATACATCCATTTTCTATTGATCAATGGGAGATAACTCATACAGTGAGTTTTTTTTTCATTACTTAATTGTTTTCAACCAATGAAAATATCCTGGTCTCAGTACTCCACTATTTAAGAGTCAATCAGAAAATTCGACAAGTTGACAACATACTCCATCTTCCAATCGGTTATTTTGACAGCTGATTTGGACAAGACTTGTGCTAACCTAACCTCACTTTGTCCTCCAGCTGTCAGAATTGTGAATTAATTTTGTTACGAAAATTAAATAAAAAATCGCATAACTCGTGCCTATTTTCTATTAATCATAGAAAAAGTATAGTATTCTACTCGTAGGTAATGGCTATTACTCACTCGGATGATTACACTACTCGCCTGCAGCTCGTAGTGCAAACTTCATCCTTCGTGAGTAATCGCCATTATTACCCGCTCGTTGAATATATACTATTTTTGCAACTTTGACAGGCTGTAAAACCTAGACATTTAATTTAAGAGCAAAACCGTAAACCGTTACATTCATAAACCATCATTTAACACCAACTTAAAATTTAAACGGAGATTAAATTTAATTAGAATTTCGAATCATGTAGGGCCGATACTTTTGATCTCGATAACGAATTTGACACGTCATTGAATTAAACAAGGTTTTGCATGGGACAAGGTCTGTAATCTGTATGATGTGGTAAGAGCACATTCAAACCCCTGATTATTTTTAACGTTTGTCAAATTCGAAAACTGAGAACAAAAGTACCGGCACGTAATGTATCTCTCTCAATCAAGCGACAAGCGTACTCCGGTCGCTGCTGATGCGCGGTTCATACTCCCCTTACGACCCTCCCTCACGCGATCGGAATTTTTGTGAAGCAAAGAGGTTCCACTTCAAAAATACCTAAAAAAATTATACCCGACGCATGTTTTTTTAACGACTTTTGGGTAAAAATTTGGGCATTCGTGACACTCAAAAAAGTTGGGGGCCCCCTTCATAGCTGTACTGGGGCCCGCGCGTCCTTAGCACGGTCCTGCCTGCGCACTCTGTTAGCTACCTGTTTTTGGAATTTTCGCAACAGAAAATTTGGGCGTCTTATCAAAATGAAGATACTCACGAAGATTTAGCCGGTTATTAATGAAAAAAATTAAATCGTGAAATCGACAACTTTTGAGTGTAGGACTGAGAATAGCTACCTGTTTATTTGTAGGACAGTGTGACCATTTAATTGTAATAATATTTGCCAACCTACATTGAAAAAATCAACTTGTTATTAATCATTTTTTATGCAACGTAATTGCTACATGTTTGAGGGGGGGACATCGTAGACCAAACCCTTTATTTTGTCGGACAAATGTTGTTTCAAATTATTCATAAAATTATCTCAACATTTAGCTGAAAAACTAACTGGTATTAATTAAATTTTCATAGTCACCAAATCGACATGTTTTACACCTGCGCAGTATGTTAGCTACCTGTTTTCGCAATTTTCGAAGAGAAAAAAGTTGGGCGTTTCGGTGAAATGAAGCTGCATTGAAAAAACTAGCTTGTTATTAATGATTTGGAAAAAAAGGTCCTCGCCCCCCGGACTACTACATTCATTTTCCATGAAAAATCGTTGAATTTCATTATTTGCTCCAACATAAGTACTACCATTATCTGAATGTATTTCAAGAGGTTTGCCACGTCTTGACATAAAACGGCGTAATGGAGCTAGAAAACACTCATTGGTAAGGTCTGTCACTACTTCAAGATGGATTGCCTTTGTAGAAAAACAAACAAATAATGAAATATAACATTTTGGTAATTTGAAATTTCTACCCTTTCTATCTCGAAGCAAAAAAGTACCCGCATAATCAGCTCCACAAATAAAAAATGGTCTGGCAGGCGTAACCCGTTTTTCGGGAAGATTTCCCATAAGGTGAACTTCAGTTTTCGCATTGACTCTAAGACAACTCATGCACTCGTCAATAATTTTTCGAATGAGCAGATTACGACCAGATAAAGGCCAAAAACGTTCTCGAATTGAGGCTAAAAGTTGTTGTTGACCACAATGGAGTAATCGTAAATGTTCATAACGTTCAATTGAAACAGTAAAATGGTGACTGCCAGATAGAATAGCAGGGTACTTTTTAAAGGCCTATTCGGGTTTGGAAAAAGTACGGTTCTAGAACGGTCCAGAAGAATCGCACAGTTTATTATTGAAATTTGTGATAGTCGAGTCGTTGTTATTTTGTTGATCAATAAACTGGACGATTGTTTTGAACCGTTCTAGAACCGTCCTTTTTCCAAACCCGAATAGGCCATTATAAGATAGTTAAATTTTGAATTGTTCAAGCGTCCACCTACGCGTATGATTTGATGAGTTTAGTCAAAGAATGGGTTTAAGCTTAAAAGTTTACTTTTTTTGTCTAGTGGTTTTGAATTAATCAATCTGTTATATTCGTCTGGAGAGCATTCAATTTGAACCATTTTAATTAAAAAATTTATTGATTTGTTTAAATCCTGTTCTGTTAGTTGTCTTCCAGAAATACGCAAATGCTTTAAATTTCTGCAATTTCCTATAAAACGTAGTACGTAAGCAAGATTGCGCTGCAAACAACTAAAATCTGAAAACCTAGAAATATATTCAGAAAAATATTTAGTTAAAGTGGTAAGACAGGTCACAGAAATAGTGCGCAACTCTGGCAAAGTTGATTTTTTAATTTGGACTGGATATTCGGGCCATTCAGCCTCTGACAAAACTAACCAATGGGGTCCATGGAACCACTTGTTTGAATTTATCAAAGTGTTGGGATCTATACCTCTTGATAAAAGGTCTGATGGGTTATCTAACGTATTGATATATTTCCAGTCCTTAGAATTAGTAAGCGTTTGAATTTGTGATACACGATTTGCCACGAAAATTTTGAGTTCGTCAGGTGATGTATTTATCCATGAAATCGCAATAGTTGAGTCACACCAGTAAACGGTTTTAGAAATGGTAACTGTGATTTATAATTTGACCAAATAGTGTATAAGTCAGTAGGAATCGACTCGTCCCAAGATACTTTTAATTTCCAAATTTTTTGTATAATTTTAGCTGTAACAGTTACCAGACAAAGAAGACCTAAAGGGTCGAAAATTTGCGAAATGGAACTTAAAATCGATCTTTTTGATATTTTTCTCGAACTGTCTAATTGCGTGATTTTGTATTCCAGAGTATCGCTGGATGCATTCCAGACTAAACCAAAAGTTTTTTTTTCCTGGTCAGTACCAAGTTGTACAATATTTGATTCGTTATTACTTTGCATTAAAGTTTCGTCATTAGATTTCCACTTTCTAAGATAGAAACCATATTTTTGTAGTAAATTTGAAAGTGTCAGTTTTATTTCTTTTACTTCCTCAGAGGATTTTCCTCCAGTAAAAGGTCATCAACATAAAAACCTTTAAGAATTATTGAAGCTATTTCAGGTTGTTTTTAAATTTTGATAAGCAACTTCATGTAAAGCGCGAATAGCTAAAAAAGCTGATGAAACCGAGCCATAAGCTTTGCCATAAGTCACAGTATTGAGAGTATATGATTTAATTTCATCGTCGGTGGTGAAACGCCATAAATTTTTTTGGAAATTACGTTGACTTTCATTTAAATATACACAGCGGTATATTTGCGCAATATCTGCTTCCAACACCACATTGTGAATACGAAAACGTAGCAAAATATTAAATAAAAAATCTTGTATAGTAGGGCCAGTAAGCATTAAGTCATTAACTGAAATTCCAGACGTGGTAGGAGCACTACCGTTGAATACAACTCTCAATTTAGCCGTTGTTTAAGTTTCTTTTAAAACAGAATGATGTGGCAAGAAAAAACCAGAATTATCCTGCGAATCATTTATCCAATAGAGACATTTAGCACCAGTCGGCAAGGAAGAGACATTGACATTGAATGATGAGCAGCATTTTTTTTTGATTTGCGACGCAACTAAAATTATTATTATTATGATTATTAAAATTTGTTGATACACTTATGTACGTCTCGTCTGATCCAATTGATAATACAAAAAAATAAAGTGAAATGCTTAAAAATCTTCACTAGTAGGTTTTCTAACCCGCCTACATAACATTTGTTATGTAAGAGTACTCAGATTTAACATTGGATAAGGCTGTCAAGTTTTCTAGGGCTGTTTAAGCTAGCAAATCACAGTCGGTAGAGTTGCAACAGCAAGAAGCATTTATTTTATTTATTTATTTATTTTTTATTTATTTATTTAGCATAGTAAATCACAATAATAAATAACAATATTGTTCTTAAGATTATCAGTTGTACTTTTTTTCCCATCTTCAGAAAACATCTAAAGATTTTATTATATTTAAATCTATATTCTACCACTACACTAAAATGTTTTACCAACACGATGGATTTTTCAAAATCTGTGTGTGCTGGTAGTTCTCTTAAATAAATTTACATTATGTTCATGATTATATCACTAGGTACGCATTAGAGTTTCTTATATTGATCTTTCTGTTCTAAACTACAATGACAGATTAGAAATTCAAGGAAAAATTACTCTCTATAATCCATTGATTGACCAGATGCTTTACTTTTTTAAATGGTCCACCTTTAATAAGAATTAGTTCATGACGTTTACAGAAAGCCCAATCGGAAGCAAACAAATGCACAAGTTTATGTGAACTCTTGCAATTATTATTGTGGAGCAAAACATGTGAACGGAAAATGCCCAACATATGGATCAACATGTAAAAAGTGTCAAAAGCTAAATCATTTTGCAACTTTTTGCAAATCAAAGGTAAATAAAGATCAATGAGATGGTCAAAGCAGCACAGGTAGTGCTAGAAAGTGTATGAACTAGCCACTGAAGGAGAAACACAGCAAGAAGAGGACCGTTTGTCATAAGCGCCTTGACAAAACATATTGGGTTATTGAAGAAATCCAGTTCGTGCAGCTGTAATACTTAATTGGTTGAAAATTATTGATGTTGAAGATGAGCCTGTTTAATTCAAACTTGGCACTGGGGCAGAACTGAATGTCTTGCCCTTAAATTATGTAAGTAAACTTGTGTGTGAAAGAAACATACAAGATCCAGCCAATGTCACTCTATAGTAGCATATGGAAATAAGCAATTTAAAATCCGACCTGTAAGTGAGATTACTCCGGAATGTAAAATTAAGGATATTGGCAAGAATCTCTTTTGTTCAGTTGTTTTATTTTAAAGAAATTAATCAAAAGTCGTTTCTTTTGAGAATTTTATTAATGTGTTCAATTATACACTATTTAACAAATCCTCTCCGCTCACTAACCCAGTAATAAAAAAAACAAATCTCAAATGCATCTGATATTTATTGAGCAATATTTACATAGGTATATGTATGTCACAGCCAACTATTAGGAAACATAATTAACTAGGTTGTCCAAAAATATGAATATGTATTCCTAAAGTAAATATTAATTTAGTAGGTACATTTCTGTTCACAAAATTGTTCTACAATTAATTTGAAAAAAATAACATTCATTTAGAAGAGCCTAAAAATGTCTGTGCAACTTTGGACATTTTGACACTCAGATTGAGTTTTATTTATAAATAATAGAATTTGAATGCAACTTTTCTTACAAATAGGACAATTTTGAGACCAGATGAAATTATTTGAAGTAAAAAAAAAAAACAAAAATTTAAAAATCGAAAATAATGCTGATATACTTAATACTTTTTGTTACATACAATACCTTGAGCAACATCATATTATTTTCTGATCTCTTTTCCTGCTAATTCCAAATACAATGTGACATCTAAACTAATAAAAACATAGTTCTGTTCCATACCTCAAAACTTGTAAAGTAAGTTATATAGCGTGATTTTTTGGCACCATTGAAAAACATACATCTGAAATAGGCAGCACATATATCCATATTTAGTGCACATTGTATTTGGAGTTCACAGGAATTTTGAAATCAATAAAGCAGAATCCTGATTATCGAAAATATAAATGGAATTTTCAACAGTCAATATTCGGATTTTTCGTAAGACCATCTCAGAGACAAAGATTTATCAGAAATTGAAAATTGATTTATGAAATAAGGTAAAATTGTCAAAAAATTAATTTATAGTTTCAGTTTAACAAAGAAGACAGCCTAAGCTAAAATTAAAATGAGAGCAAGGTCCTTACAAAACGTTGCTAAAGGCAACATTTAAAACCTCTGGCTAGTTAGCTAAATGTAAAAAAGAGGAAAAAATTAAAACTACATCCTAGAAAAGCTGAACATTTACAATTTGTAAATATGGCGCATAAATTACGTACATTTATATCACTGTTACTAATAGCAAATAATAGGTCTGTTCTCGATCTCAAAGAAATCACAAACCAGTCGGAGCGTTTTTGATTGGTGCAAATCGCCTACAACCAGTTTTCTGACTATTTTCAACCAATTACATTCGCTCTACTGTTTGTGATTTCTGTGAGAACAGGCCTAAAACCACATTAGAAATTTAATTTATTTCATTGAAATTGTTAGGGAATACCTACATTTCAGTCTACAATACAAAAAAAAAATAGTAAAACCCTTCAACCAGCAAATAATCCCACCCTTTTTTTTTGATAAATATCAAAATTTCAGGTCCCAATCTTGTAGAACAGATCAACCTAACAGAAGAACTTTCAAATTAACCAATCTTCTAAAATAAGTACCCAGTTTTGAAAATATAGGACAATATATTTTTGAACACAAAGGACCCGATATCTTGAAAAAAAATAAAAAATCGACAAAAGTCCACCAGTCTTATAATTGACGCATAGTTTTTTGGACACCCTGCATATCTGCGAACGAAAACACCTACATTAATGTTAGGTGTCCAAGGTGTATAGGTACTAAAATTGTTGTTTGTGTGAAGCCATTATGGAGCTAGAGCGCCAACAGACCGACAGACAAACAAACAGGCATAAACATACCGATGGAATTGAGAAAATATTATTTTCGTAATCTAGGGACCTGAAAATTTATAAATGTGAAAACATTTTGACGTCGATTTTTTACGTGAATACAACACTTTAGTAAAAACTATAAAAAAACTATCATCAAAAAAATAATTTTATGGCAAATAAATTGGATTGTTTTACTTAGTATTGTACATTCATAAAATCATACATCAATTTGGTTTCAGAACATGTGGGATGTGTTACAATAAATAGAGAACAGCATGTTATCATTTTACTTATTAAAAACAATGCATTTTTTATATGTATATAGTACCTTAGCTGCAAGAAAACCATACCATGTAGGTAATAGCATTGTAAACTTCTCTTATTATTGATTGCTTTACAGAATAATACCTTACCTTTGATACTCAGGGTAACTGTTTTACAAAAATAAAAACACATTTCAATGTGCGGTTCAAAAATCCCAATTTTAAAAAAATCGATTTAATTTTGAAAGAAACTAGCAGCAATAAATAGGTACCTAGGTAGCTTATGAATCTATGTATGTTTTTCTTAGATATAGAAATGTAAAAAATCAAATATGTATCTATTAATAATAATCCTAATCACGTAATCAATTTACCAACATTATTCCAATCAGCTAACATAGTCAAATTAACATTTTCAAAACGCCACTTTTGTGTTTTTGAAGTTTCATCGCAAGTAGTAACAAAAAGTTTTTTAGCACCAGGTTCACAGTCTAAGCATCGAGGATTACCTCCGTGTAGGAACCATTGTTTTTCAATATCGTACCGCCAGTACTGATTGCCTTCTTGTCCATGACAAGGATAAAGAGTAATATCGGCTTTATCGTTCGCATCTGATACATCGAAACACAATGTTTTACCTTTAACCCTAATGTCTTTGTGCCACGTGAGTGAGAAATTTTGATCCGCTTTGATGTCTGTGCCTTTGGCACAATCTGCTATTCCTACCACCTGGTCCCGTTCTTTGAATCCAGCATCTACACATATTTCAGGAACCCCTGAAAATAAATACAAAAATTAAAAATCATAGGTAATGGCGCAGTATAGTTGTTTGATGTCAATCTCAGGTAGGTAAATATCAATAGCGACTAGACATTTACAGTTAGGAATAAAAAATGCGCTACAATTGACTGAAAAATTATTCTACTTTCAAATAGAGTGTAGTTCGCTCATCCAGACGAAATCAAAATCAAAAATAAGTTGCAGAAGCTTGGCACTGAAAGAATTGCGCAACTGTCAAAATCTGAAATGTGTTTATAAATGGTTAGTGAAGAAGAGTTTTTACCATTGCAGAGTGACCATATTTGGGAGAGAAATTAGTCACAGATCCTCAAGTGAAACACGATGCGGCATTTTGATGAGTTGGTTGTTGCACAAAATGTATACAGTATGCCGGATTAAATTAAATGCTAATACAATATTAAGAAAGATGCGAACAGCTTTAACAACAAACAAGCAAAACTTACTGATCCTAATCTTTTAGTCGTTTTTCCATCCCCCATTTATATGCATATTCTGTAGATAACATTTTAGTCTTTTTATGTATTTTTAGATTTCAATGAATAAATCCCTGAAATTATATATAAGAGCAGAAGCTTATCAGCCAGATAAGAAATGTTTCCGTTCTGAAAATCACATTGCTTGAACCTGAAACTTTTATCCTATACCAAATTTTCCCTATCTCTCCCTGTCTCTTTAATGCTACACGAACCACTCATAAGTACATTGTGCGAGATGACGATGCTTTGCTGTATGTATCTCTTCGAGGCTTAAGGAGCTGCAATCAACTCCAATTTAAACCTTTAAAATTGAGCAACATCGACACAGGAGACCTAAATGTAGCCCAACACAGACTCAACCAATACTCTAAAGAACTAGACAAACTGATCAAAGGACCCTTTATATCCAAATATGTCCATTCGTTCACTATTGTCTCCATTGTTCTGATCATTACACTAACCATCAGTTACATTTGCTGCAAATGCCGACGCAAAAAAGCTATGGGTTTGACTCTTCCAGACGTCCACATTGATGATTTTCTACCACGACCATAACCCGGACAACGACAAGAAATACATTATTCCAGCAGATTCCAAAGAGAAGAACCAGCATCCACCCTGAATACCCCAAAGAAGAATATGCCTTGTGTGCTATTAGTTTGGCTGCCACTTGTATAAAAGTTTTTTGAAATGGGGACCTGTTATATTGGTGTATTCTGACTGGCTCTGACCCTGTTACCGTGCTGTAACATCCTATCACACCTTCCAGGGATCCGCCAAGTCAGTAAGTTTAACAACAGCGTGAATCCAAATGAGTGAGCTCAATCCAGCAACCGAGCAATCTCAGAATTCAATTAATTATAAATACTTAAGGAACGATATATTTTTTAAAAAATCAATATCTAAACCTAGTATTGTATTCAAGAAAAGTCATTTTTACTGTCAAAATTTTGTATGTTATGCCAAGAGGTCAAATTTGGGTTAATAATTTTTGTGTTACTTTTTTTTTTATTGCAATGGTACATATAAACTGGCACAAATAAAACTAATTGTACTATAATGAAAAACTGAGCACTAAAACCAAGTATAATTTAATTTCATATAAAATGAATATTTCGAAGTTGTGCACAGTCTTTCAACCTGATGGATAGAAAATTCGCGAACGGAATTATTCCCAATAGTGCAGCGAATTCGAGACGCACAAAAGCGAATTATATAGACAACTCTAGAAACAACAAAGCACGGAGTTGGTCAACGAGGAAAGCGAGGAGGAAAGTTAGATGTTATTTTGTTTTGCGACTAGCTTGATTGTAGTTAAACGAAGTGTTGTGCTAGTTTTGTCGTGATTTTTGTGTTATTGTCTTGAATTACTTTTGGAAGAGTAAGTAGTACGTCACGTATCAGCAAACCCGCGTACAAAACAGTACCTAGTTGGTTAATCCAACTAATTTTATGTGAAATTTTTGTAATCAAACTACTAGGTATATTTTGTGCGAGATTTTGTGGAAACACTAGAAATTTTTATTGATTAGATCAATTTACTAAAAAAGTGTTGTGGCTTTTACTAGAGGTGGTGGTGATAGATATAACACTTGAAATAATAATTAATAAATTCCAGTCTAGAAATTTAAATATTATCTTAATTATTTATATTGCCTCTAATACATGTAAGTAATATTTTTATATTTCTCGACTCGAATATATTATTATAATACCCACTCATTATCAATCCAATAAAATAATATCAGACATAAATGGAATACATACTTATGTCCAAGTAAGTATTTTTTTCATCATTGAATCAATATTTGAATTGCATTTATAAAAAATGAGAACAAATAATCCATTCAATAGCAGGTATCAAAAATTATATTAAAAACACAATAAAAAAGTTCGTACAATATAACATTCGTGTAAAATTATTTAAGATAAATCGTATGAGTGTGCAAAAAATATTATTTTACCAACCTCTTACACAGAGGTTAAGAATCTATTTTAAACACTAGGTTGGTCCAATAGAAACTTGACTCGATTGATATCATTCATTCAGTATCTAGATTTGTTGTTTCTAGGCTTTCGCATAGCATATACGAATAGTATTTCTTGGTTTTTCGGGACTTGTTTCTGTGGTCCACAAAACTTCCCAGTTTCAACAAAACCTTCTTGATACTACTTTGTTTTAATTTTCCTTGTATAAGAAAGATGATATTATTTTCACAGTACATGATATTGAAGAAAAATCCTCTTTATGATACTGAAGAATGCTACACCCTGGTTAAATCACTTTCCTCCAACCTAACTATTTTTCCATGAATACAAAATTTGAAATTTAATGTATGGCCCTTCGTCCTTCGATTCTACTATGAAAATTTGACACATCATTTGATAAAACTTTTTCACATTAGTAAAAAAATGCATTTTGTATTGAATTTAAATTCAATTTTGGCATGCTGGTTGCACTTGATAATTGAGTTCAAAATCCATGGCTGGATATAGCCAACTAAGTACGGATTTGAGATTGAAATTACCCTGAAAATAATTAAAACTTCAACTCACAATAATGATATTTCTCAAAATCGCTGTGTACAAGGATGCCTAGACATAGCTGATGCCTCGAGAAGAACAGACAAACCAAGAATGGTGTGCGTTTTATGTGGTCATATTTTCGGTTTGCATGCATATGTGGCAAACAGCACCACACTCCACACTGAACATTTCCAGCGATGCCTCAATGAGAAGAAGGTAGCGTAAAATTGACATTTGATACAAAATTTATTTAAAGTGCAGCAACATCGAGAGCAAAATACCTACTCCAAAAGTATATTTCTATGTAAACCCCCTTTAAACTGACCTGCTAACAGATCGTAGCCAAGAATGCTCTTTAATTGGTCAATAGATTTTCGCGCCATTAGTCTTGTATTTGGATTGGGTTACCCTCTGGTTTAAATATTTCCCAAAACTCTAAATATCAGCATCAATTTTTGGCAACTCATTGCTCTAGGACCAAAGCAGCTTCTATAGCTATACGGAATTGTAGACAGTACAGTTCTCAAAACAATGAAATGTACTACATAGATATTATTACCAATAGTTTGATAACAAAAGTAAGCAAATGTATGAGTATCTATGTTAAGGAATTGTGGGCGGTGCGAACGTGTTTGAACGTTGCTCTGACAATTGTACCTACCTATTGTAAATTCCAAAGGTATAAAGTGCAAATTGTAAAACACAAACCTTCATTTATTGTGTGTATCAATTGAAGACTCGGGATAAAATGTTTGTTGAAAATCAAAATATTTAGTGATTCTATAAATAAATCCACAGAACAAATGAGGGACAAGCCCATCATCAGTCTGCGTTAGAGAAATGCAGAATTTGAAAAAAAAAAAAAAAAAATTGAATGCCTCACTACTGAAAATTAATTGACAAATATAGGGTACTATTATCGAAATCTCAATCTAAACTGAATTATTCCAGCCAACTTCAAAAAAAGGTGATCAGCACATATGAAAAACAACTAGTACTTGTAAATGTCTCGATGAGGGTCTGCAAGGTCAACCTGAACAACAACATGATAAGCCTCACACTACACTGCCTACAAATGTGAACAACAACAATACTAATATCAGTGAACAAACAACTGCTTCTTGTTCTGGTGCACTAAAGATGTTAGGAATAATAATCGCATGGTTATCGACGCAAATGCTGTCCAGGCGGCAGTTTTGCCAGCCTAGCAAAGTGAAATGATGGAGGAGATGATGAAAGAGGTTCAAGATCTAATCCCTGAAAAAAACGGAAAAGAAGGCACAGTTTTTGTGATGAATTTTCTTGACGTCTATCAAGTTAGCAATACCACATGCAAGCCAGAAAATGGCGCCCCTCAAGTCGACAAGTGTTTCAAAAGAAAAAAAAAATCGTTTGAGTAGACCATGATAATCATAAGAAAATTGTTCTATAGTGTTATGTGACTGAATATTATCAATATTGTTGTTAAATACCTAATTAAAGAAATTAATATTACCCAAGTTTCTAATTTCTCCAAATCCAAAATCTCCAGGTTCAATAGGAGGATACTTGAGTGGTAAATCAAATGCGATTTCAGTCATAAACCATTTAAATGGTTTGCAATGTAAGCGCTCCCTGAGAGCTTTCTGCTTAGTTATATCACCAGGATCCAACATTTTATAATGAGGCCTTCTCATATATAAATATTGAGCATATTCATCCATCCACACTTCAGCAACTCTTTTGTAATTCCTTCCAACAAAATCGCCTTTTCCTGGGTTTGGAAAGGGAGCATATTTTCGATAGATATGTCCAACTCTAGAGCATGGGGCATCATACATTTCACCTCCACATTGCCAAATTTTAAAACTTAATTCATATTGTTCTCCACCCCATATATCCAAACCCTCATCATATCCTCCCAATTCCCAAAAAAACTTACTACTAATTGCAAACAAACCTCCTGCCATAACTGGACTTTTGAATGGTTCAGCAGGATGTTTCAAGTCCTCTGGTAACAATGGGAGTCTTTTGTAAAAGAACTCCCAGTCAAAAGCACCACGAGCACCTTCATCTTGGGCTCTATATTCAAATGTTTCAAAGGCAATTACATCAATGAAAGGACAAACACAGACTTTGTAGTCTTGAGCTATTGGTTCTAAAAGAGGAGGCAACCAGTTGACATTGCACTCAGTATGTGAATCAAGAAATATTAAAACTTCTCCTGTGGCTGCTTTTGCACCTGCTAATCTTGCTCTAATCAACCCGCTTCTTTCAGGTAAATGTATGGCTCGAACTTTTGGCAAATTAGTTGCTAAGTAATCATCTAGAGGTTTTTTGCTGAATTCTTTTGAACTAAAGTCATCAACTAGGATAATTTCTTTCAAAAGCTCTGCAGGGGACCTGTTGATTACACTAACAGCTGTTCTGAGTAAAGTTGTCCAATGTTCATTATGGAATGGCACAATTACACTAACTGATGGCAATTTTTTCAAATACTTTTTAGTTTTACACGACTTGTGGCGTATATCAGGTATGGCTCTGTCAAGGGCGATTTTATCACTAAGTGCTGCATTAAATCCATTCACTCTGAACAGTTTCTCATAATTTGCTCTTTCTAGAGATGTGAGATAAGCTGCAGCACCTTGTTCACCTGTACCTACTCGCTTAGAGTCCTTTTCAATAGCCTTATAGTCATGCCAGTCAATTTTTTCATTATCTGTTAAGCTTTTGGGATGAGGTAGAATATTATTGTCAACGGAATTTACAAGACCAAAATTATTATCAACCATCCGATACACTAGCACTGTAATTATCACGGTTACTGCTGACAATAAACAAAATTTAAGTAAACTTTTCAAATTTCTTCTCATTTTGCGATAAGGTTACTAACATGTTTAATTTAACAATGACTGAAAAATATTAGCATTTATCCACGCAGACCGAACTTGCCACATTAATCACTAAGCTTTACACTGAACCCGTTATCTTAAACCAATTTAATTTACTTTTTATTGTTTGCTGATAAATAAAATCCATATTACCTTGAAATTCAAATCATTCATCATTTTTGAACCTAATTGCATTTACTTATAAATACAATAAACTTTGGTATGGCAGTGTTTGAAACTGTCTAAACTGTCTAAAGCCGTCTCAACACGAAGTCGTTAAACTTTAGCCGCTTTCCAGCTGTGTGCTTCAAGCACGGTGCAGCACAGTGTTCTGTGTTTGAAACGCAAAAGTTAGCAGCTCTCGAAGCGTAGTAGGGCTGGAACACGAATACGCGCTTGAAGCATTTGCGCGCGCAAAAGCTCGATTGCGTGCTCAAAAGCGTCAGCTGGAAAGCGGCTTTTGATTGGACGCATGACGCATTGCGATTTGTGTACCCACACCGACGCCAAGCCAAGAATAGTTTAAAGGCGGTTTCCACTAAACGGACAGTTGAGTTTGTGTTTTGTTTGTTTATGTTTTCTACAAACTGGAAACAAAAACAAAATTGAAACTAACCCAAAACTCCTGTTTCCATCAAGCGGACTATTTTGTTTTCGGGGTCCTTTTCTATAAAAATCCGTTCTGTGTCAAAACCTTTGGATGTTGACCGCTTCCGAGCGGAACCTGAAAAACAAAACTCCAACTGTCGCAAAACACGCTAGTCTTCAAAATATTTGCGAGAAGTTAGTTTTAATTCGACGATAGTTTGTGTTTTGTTTATGTTTTGTTCGTTTAGTGGTAAAGCGGCATAATGCAGGTTAGGACGTTTGTCTTTAGTTTCGCACGAGTTGAAGGTTGCTTCAAACATTTGGAGCAACGTAGGTGCACGGCTTACTACTGACAAGCGGTTTAGTTTTTTTCCCGATATTTGTCTATAATTAAATTATTGTCGTTCTGTGAAGTCTAATTAATGTATTGTTTAATCTCTTAGCTGTTAGATTTTGTCGGGCTGTGATTTTGTTCTATTCTTTTACGTTTTGTTTATTTAATAGAGTACATGAATTTAAATGAATTATCTGCAATCAAAAAAATATATCAATCCCGATATGTTTTCTTGTATATATTTGTTCTTGTTAATTTATATTCACATATACCTAAGCTAGTTTCTAGGCATATGGGTTATTTACCTACCATACATGTTACCAAAATTCAAAATTGTGATGGAACAATCAAAAGAGGGCGATTCTGAAAAAATACAACAACTTACAAACGAAAAAACACAAAACAAATATGAATAGATACTTAAAATGTCACAAATTCTGCACTCTCGTTACTAACATCAGTTTTGATTGAACTAATTGACTACAAAATTCACTATCACTTATCGCTTTTATTTAAAATTACTGCAAGCTTTACAAACTACGCGCATTATTTTACTTACAAAATCACTCAAACGAGAAATCTATCCAGAATTAGCGTAAGTTCTATTGTTTATTTGAATCACGCAATGGAAACGAATTCCTGAATATTCGCGTACCGGTCATGCACAGGGGCTTATTCGGCGCTCCTGCACCGATGTAATTTCGTAACACCTCCTGCATCTCGCCTTCTCTTTTACGTCTATACTCCCACTAGTCCCACTCAAATCCATAATCATTTCATCCCAGTATCCTGCAATAATATGCCTTTCAAATGCCCAGAATGACGCTCTCGCAATAGATTTGTTGAGAAGCTGATGAAGGAAGTGATCTCATAAGGCGGTTACACACGGACGTGGATGTCTGAAAACATGTACGCACATACATGAACGCTCAAACAAAAACATCAATGTGTATGCAAAATACCGTCGCGTTTTTGAATGTGCAATTTTGTATGCACACTCGGAATACTGTAGCAAGAATAGCAAGACCGCAGTTTTGTGCGAGCGTCTGTACAAAGGCGCCATGCACGTTGTTGTTTGCACGTTGATGTATGCACGTATGTGTATTAAGCCATCCACGTCCGTGTGTAACCGCCTTAAAAGGTCTGAGGAAAAGCTGCAATCATTGGTAATTGCAACAGTCTCGATCTGGATCGTCGTATGAACCTTTGTAGGTTGTCTTCTTGTTGTCTCCATCTTCGGAGATTAGAACCGCATCGTCAGCGCAGCTCATTATTTTAATTTCTTCATTCGATTTCCCCTTCCGCTTTGTTTTATCTCGGTGATGATTTCATGCATGATGATATTGAACAATATACCTAGGGCTTAGGCTGTCGCCTTGTCTGATTCTGGTAATGACGGCTAGTCTTTTTGTTGTCTTAGTTTCTGCTTTTACAAAAGTGTGATTGCTTAGATCTTTGATGATGGAGACAATATCCCGATGAACTTTCTTTCTGTGTAGAAGTTTTATGACGTCTATCAGTCTTACTTTGTCAACTGCTTGGGTGAGGTCTATAAAAAAACACATAAACGCTGGTTTGTTGAATATTCGATGGCTTTTTCAGTTATCTGGCGGAGTATGTATATTGCGACTATAGTTGATCTTTCGTGTCTGCATTGTTGCTCCTCACATATTCCAGCGTCAGTCACTTCTTCTGATAATATTTTTGTCAACAGCTTTGAAGCTGAGCTTAGGAGGGGATTCCCCGTAGTTTTTGGGGTCTGGCTTCTCTCTTTTTTTGAAGATTGGGATTGTTATGCTGTCCTTCCTCGTTCCATTCTTATGGTAGTTTTTTGTAGGGGTACCTAATATGTTTTTTTGTATCATCGTTCTCATCCTCATCTATAGCAGGCGATTTCCTGTTTTTTGGAGTAGTTGCCGCTATAGTTTGACCTTCTGGGTCGATAATGTCGATATATATAGGTACATGCCAAGTAGGTGGTGATTCTCCATTTATGGGTGTCTCTCTTGTCTCAGTGTTTTCCTCGTGATTGCTGTGGAGCTGTTCAGAATGTTTTTGCCAGGTCTCAGTGGTGAATGGTGATCTTTGGTATCGATGTATTCGTTGACTGGTCTTTTTCTGCTTCTTAACTTATTCCAAACGTTTCTCTGTCCTATATACATGTCATGTTCTATATCGACAGAGAATTTTTTCCAGTTTTTTAATTGAATGGATTTCTGCGTTGACCTGACCTGGTTTCTGACAACTTTGTATTCCTCGTACGTAATTATATTGTAGGTATGAATTATGATTCTCGTTTTTCAGCTGATAAGTCGTTCGATGACAAGGATGATACACACTACTACTACAGGATGGCTTATCCTCATAAGGCCTGTGTGTAACAAATCCTCCCCTGCCACCCAAAAAAACAACCAGCTGTGACGTAAGCAGCATGGCGTTTCTCGCCTTGACGTAGACTCTTTAAACAGCTGAAGACTTAGTTGTGACGTCGGCAATGGTTGAAAACAGTTGAAAACCAATATGGCGGCGATTACCAAAAACGAGGCCGATAGGCACTCCTTAGTGTGTATTCTCCTTGGTTCGATGAAACCATCCATATTGAGTTTGCTGGTCTGTTCATTGTAATTTTTCTTTATTTATCCATAGGTTGTATTGGTTGTAACTTTGTAACCATTACAAGATTATGATTGGTGACAGCATTTGCGGAACTAAAGACTAGTATTTGAGAAGAGCGAACCAAAAGCTAACTTCTCCATGTAGGTACTTAATTCTTCCATTGCATTCTTGAATTTATATAAAAATAAAAATCGAATACGGACTCGGACTCCAAAAAACATAGGTATCCTAAACAAAATAAACAATAATCAGTTGCACGATTTTATTTGGATTGACACGGTGTACTCCCGGTGACGTCACGTCACTCCGCAGTCGGTAAGGGCCTGTATTCTCGTAACCGGGGAATAGCGTTCTCAAGAGAGAACAATTGCTCTGTCTTTTTCAGTATTATGGAAATAACAATATGGGCGACTAAGACAGAGCAAATCGTTCTCTCGAGAACGCTGTTCCCCGGTTGCATCTAAACATTCCGGTATAGGATTCGGCACCTAGGCATATTTCATTGGTCCGTTTGAATTCGGACCGCCAATTGATGCGGAGTGCCGAAATCGGTACTTGAATGTTGAACGGTGCTGAGCCTCAGGTCAGAATGGTCCATTAGCAACAGCCATGTGGAGTGCCGAATCTAAGGTTAAAATTGTTAAACCAGTGCTGAGTATCAGGTCCGAATGTTGCCATGCGTTTGGCGCGGTTTTTATATTAAATCAGCTGTCCACCTCCTTCGCGTTCCTCTTAGCTACAATTTTGCGGCGGATGCGGTTTATTTCGCCGTTGCTTCATGTGTTCTTGTGCTTAAACATGCAAGATGAGTTTGTAAACACTTTCAATGTGGTGAGCAAATTTACCGAGCCAACCTTTTGGAGGAAAACGGTATAAAACAATGGAAAGAAGAGTATAGTGATATAACATACACGAATAGGAATGTGAAGTCAGCGAAAAATAATAGACCTATCTATTTTACCAGACAAAGAAGTAATAATACAAAAACTTTATTAGATAGGAAAAGACGCAGAACGCTTATTGCGCAAGACGAGGCAAAACGTACCAAATTATGTTAGACTTACGTATAGCAATCCGTTCTTATTATTTGCACGGGATAAAAAAAGGAAGGAGGAAAACCGCGTGACATGCAACGCATTTGTCAATCAAAAACACAAACAACAGGGCCCGGATTCCAATTGACAATAGGATATCGGATTAGGCGGTTTCAGTGAAATTTACGATTCCCATTCGAGAAATGAAACGGTCGCTTCGAATTGAACGATATCGGATTACTCGCCAGCTCTAAGCTGGTGAATTGCTTGCTTTCGACATGAAATTGACAACATTGACACATGTCAATTCAATGACGTAGAATCTTCATGGATGCGAATAGACTTTGGAAAATACATTTTTTAGATATGTTTTTGTATGCCATCATAGTGCTTATAAAAAAGTGGATCAAGGAAATAATAAGAAAGGAAAATCCGAAAACTGCTGTTGCCTGGCTTCAATTGATATTTTAATTAAACTAAGCACCACAGATACCAAAAAAAAAGATAAATATATTAGGGTATTTATTTTCAAAATTTTCTATTCTAATTTGCCAGGTTTCAGGTTTTTATAATCCCTCCCCCCCCCCCCCCCCTGGGTCCATTTTGACCTTTGATTCGGCACTCCACATAGAATATGTATATACCATTCCGACCTCAGGCTCAGCACCGTTCAACATTCAAGTACGGATTTCGGCACTCCGCATTAATTGGCGGTCCGAATTCAAATGGACCAATGAAATATGCCTAGGTGCCGAATCCTATACCGGAATGTTTAGATGCTCCCCGGTTACGAGAATACGGGCCCTGCTCGCTCCGCCGAGCGTCGACCCAAACATTTCCTTGAAAGGTCTGGTAGCGAAATCAAAACTCTGGTAATCTGTGCACTTGTTTTTCGGACTCAAAACTAGGTATTAAATCACTATTATTTTATCACTTTTTGTATCCCTATCAAATTGTCAAGAGTTCCGCAGGTCCACTACAAAAAAACTCTCCTTATTTTCTAACAACAACAACTTTCATAAAATTAATTGACCTTACAAAATCCACTATGCACTCATGGCTTTTACTTAACGCCTCTTATTTAGACTGCAACTTACAAACTACGCGCATTATAGAATCAATTCTCAAGCGAAGCGTCCACCTTCTCTTTCTAGCACGTCTTTTCTGACGATTTTTGTCTCATAAATAAAATTAAATCTAAACATATGCCAGCGCAATGTGTTTCTAATTTATAGATTTTCTTGGTCTGGATGAAAAATGTAACTTGGAAGGAAAGATAAAAGCCGTTTTCCAGCCGACCATTTTGAGCACGCAATCGAGCTTTTGCGCACGCAAATGCTTCAAGCGCGTGTTCGTGTTGCAGCCGTACTGCGCTTCGAGAGCTGCTAACTTTTGTGTTTCAAACACAGAACACTGTGCTGCACCGTGCTTGAAGCACAAACACATGTTAGTTGGAAAGCGGCTAAAGCATATATTTGTTAGGTTTCCCAAACGAGCGGTGTGAACTTGACAGGAGACAGATTTTTGAGCATTGTGAATTGCCATAGGAATTGCCGCACACGAAACTCAGCCTATGTTCCGATATCAACTGACACAGTACTGAATTTACTGGACGCCGTTCCGATAATACACTGGATTCAGTCGATTCAGTACTGAATGACCACAAAAGTACGCTGTTGAAATCGGAACTGCAAATGACAGTAAAATCAGCACAGTAAATCCAGTACTGGCAGTTTGATATCGGAGCATAACCTCAACTTTGCCGTGTAAAACGGCTGTTACGGCAAAGTTTCTTTACGAAATTACTTACGAAATTGTTGCCGAAATATTTCATAAGTCAACTTTTCCTGTTTAAAGCCTAGTACTCATAACTGCGAAATTCGCATTTTTTTGACATTACTTCGACAATTTGACGTTTGATACACGCATAAAACGTCAAATTGTCAACGCAATGTCAAAAAAATGCGAATTTCGCAGTTATGAGTACTAGGCTTTACACGACAAGAAAAACTTACGAAATATTTCGCCAATAAACTTTTGAAAATGTTCTATAGTTTTTGTGGGCGCGGCAGGGATGTGCGTCTACACGTAGACTTTCTCTACTTTACGTGTAGACATTGTAGACAATGTGTCAACAATGTAAAATAATATAAATGACGTTTAATTCTAACCTCACACTTTCCTTTTTTTAAATTATTTTTATTTTATTATTGGTTTTCCTGATATTTTATAATCAGTGAATGCTGATATCGAAGTGATAGTGATAGTATAGCAACTCTTGATATTTTTTTCGAATTTTTTAAAATAAGTTATTGTTTAGGTACGCCGCATGTAGACAATGTGTAGACAAATGCTCACGTAAACAATTCGAATTGTCTACGCGTAGACAATCAATTGTTTACGTTGACATTGTCTACAGGCACATCACTGGGGCGCGGCCGAGAAAATGCGTGAGTTTCAACGCACACAATTACAAAATAAAAGGCGCATTTTTTTTCTTCGAGCCTTGAATCCGTCATTGGATTTCAATGTAATAGATAAAGATAGACTGCTTATCGGTGGATCAACCGGTGAAAAAAGTGTTGCGCCCAAAAAAATAAGGTAGGAGGGAGCAGACCAGCAGCTGTGCAAAGCCAAAAGTAAACAAAACTTTATTTATGGAAGGGAAACAGAAATTCAACTTTATGAAACTGCAGAAGAGTACAAAGATTCAACAAAAATTAGAAACCGCAAGTTTTATTTGTTTTGGTTTCCAACGTATGAGGTTATGATTTCATATTATTGATGGCAAAACGTTATTGCGCCGGCGTATGACTAATATTTTCACGAAACTTTTGCTAAATTTTATTTGTCGTAACAGGTAACAAGCGAAACAAGAATAGTAAACTTACGAAATATTTCGGCAATAATTTCGTGAATAATTTCGTAAAGAAACTTTGCCGTGTACAACGGCTCTAATAGAAAAACACGACGGTTTTCTACAGGGCCCCACGGACTACAATAAAACACGACGGTTTTCATCGCCACGATGAAACACTACGTCGTTCCAAAACCGAAGTGTGTGGTAGAAAACCGTCGTGTTTCATCGTCGGTTTATAAAATTCAGTCCGAGCTTGATTTTTGACACGACGGTTCAACATTTCGTACACACGAACGGTGTTCTACCACACACTTCGGTTTTGGAACGACGTGTATCATCGTGGCGACGAAAACCGTCGTGTTTCATCGTAGTCTGTGGGGCCCTGTAGAAAACCGTCGTGTTTTTCAATTTACACACTTCGGTTTTAGAAGGACGTGTTTCATCGTGGCGATGAAAACCGTCGTGTTTCATCGTAGTGTATGGGGCCCTTTACGAACAAAGCGATCCTAATTTATTAGCATAGCCGCCACGTGAAATAGAACATTTGGTGTATACTCGTTTAACTCCTTTCTTATTACCCGAACGCAAATAATTTCGATCGGTTTACTCCGAACCACTCAAGAGGAGAAAAAAAAGACTATGGACCCGAACCGAGCGGCCCGAACACACGTGCGTGACAACAACAAGTGACAATAATGAATAATGACAAGCCCATCCCAATCCCGAGAGGCATCACTTCTCAAGTTCTCATGTCTATCCTTGTCTATCATAGAATGTTACATTGTGTTAATAAAGAATGCAACTAGTTTTATTTAAACAAAAAAACAAGTATTGATAATTGTTGTTATTTTATTTATAAATTTATAATTTGAATTTAAATTGTATATTTGGCTTTGGGGTGTATGCCACGTATGTGCCTTATGTGTAGGCTTTACCGGTAAACCCTCCATCCTCCATCGATTACGATTTGTGCCTCCCTCCACTTTCCTTCATAATCATAGATAAGATAAAAGTTCTGTGTGGCATTCTTTGCACAGGGTACAGAATTCAATTGTTTCATCGGTCAAGTCGTTTTATTATAAAAGAAAAGACACACACATTATACTACATAATTCTTAGAACAGAAATAAAATGGAGAAAATCGCAATTTTTGGTGCAACCGGCATGACCGGTTTATGTGTAATAGAGGCAGCTCTAAATAAAGGTTAGTTATGCTCTCCTCTAAGCTAAAACAACTCTAATAATTGTAATTTTTTAGGCTTAAAACCGAAAATCCTTGTCAGAGACTCATCCAAAGTACCCGATGGCCCTAAAACCCAACTAGGAATCATTGAAGGCAACGTTTTAAACTATCCTGATGTTCTTAAGACTGTTCAGGACACTAATGGTGTGATAGTCACTCTGGGAACTAGAAATAGTCTTGAGCCGACTACTGACATGAGTGATGGCCTTAAAAATATCATTAGGGCAATGAAAGAGTGTAATATTGAGGTTATATCAGTCTGTTTATCAGCTTTTCTATTTCATGACCCTGGAAGTAGTAAAGTCCCAGCCATTTTCCATGATGTCACTGCTGATCATAAAAGAATGTTTGATTTGTTAATGGAGTCTGGTTTGAAGTATGTTGCAGCATTTCCTCCACATATTGCTGATGAACCAGCAAGAGGTTACCAAGTAGAACATGACAAATATATCAGTAGAGTTATAACAAAGTATGATCTTGGCCAGTTTCTGGTGGACTCTTTGACATTACCAGAGCATTTTGGACACATTATTGGACTGGCATCCAAATAAATATTGTTTATTTTTAATGCTATATAATTATATCATACATACCTACCTAATATTTATCCCAAGACCAAAATTATTGCCACTAGCAAGGCTATATTATAAGTAAGTGGCATTGTAATAAAGATGAGAATGTGTAACTTGTCAAGTTGCCAATACTAATGCTTCATAAAAATTGCACATAATGTGGTTTAAGTCATTGACAATAATTTTGTTCTTGGGGTACCTATACTTATTATAAATAGTATTATTTCATCAAATTCTCAACTGTTTATAAGTACCTATGTACCTTATTTATTATACTTGTGCATTTATTTACTGTTAGTTCGAACAAGCTCCTTTTTCATTATGTACCTATGTGCCAATCCAGAATAAACAGCAACTTTATGATTTTTTTTTATGTGTTTAATTGTGTAAATGGCTGGTTTATACAACATTTGCATAGTCGTAATCATAATCATAGTCTTAGTCTTAGTCTTAATCATAATCACAATTTTAGAAGGCGTTTATACAATGTCATAAGCATAAAATAAAATCAACTCTAACCCGACTTTTTGTAGAGAGAATTTGTTTACTTTTTGCGAATCGAACTCGTCTATTTACTTTTAATACTTTTTCAAAGTTTCAAAAAGTGTGGAAATTAAAATTCTGCGAAAGAAAACCATACAAGTGATAGGTCTGTCCTATTTATTTTTGAGTTTTGCTAATAAACAACTTCAACAAACGCAAACCATAAACAAAGAAGGTGGAAAGTGAGTCCCATCAATAAAAAAAGGCAGAAGGAAGGGCATTTTGCCACATTATTCAAAGACATGTAGAAGCTCGATGGAGACCCTTTTTTTTAAATACTCCAGAATGACTCAAGATCAATTTAAATACAAACAGAACTAAAATAGCAGATTTGAATTGTTTTTTTCTGTATCAGCTGATAATGGCGCTTGCGCAGTTTGGATCTCGTCTTAGTCATAATCATAAAAGTTAAAAGTTGCCAACTTTGAGTTATGCTTATGCTTATGCTTATGATTATGATTTGTGTATAAACGGTTCCATAAGAAAATATTATTTTAACTCTTATGACTAAGAGGCCTATTCTGTAACTTGTCGTTACATAACGATATCGTTGTTGTAACGACTGACTTGGTAACGACAATTTTAGAAAAGCTATTCAGTAACAAAGTCGTTAGCTTTCGTTGTTGTTATCGACCTAACGACTTCAACTTCGTTCCACACTACTTGAATATGGTGCATTTATGGCAAGGATCTTCAAATTTACCTCAAAAATTAGCTGACAATTGATGCTATAAAAAATTCTTTCTGTTCATGAAGAGGACCAGGGTGACCAAGTTGAAAATGCGTTGGTGAAAAAATTTTGATGTGACTACCGTCGACACAACCAGCTATTCCTGGAATGCAAAATTTTGTAGAAACCCCATCTGGTAAAAGGGTTTTTTCGTTCGCGAAAATGTAGATGCACTATGCACTTGTATCTACCACCTCATGAATATAGCAGCCAACATTGCTTTGTGATGATTCTGCAAATCGATCAAATGGTTTCTGTTAACTTCCTTGTGCCAAGAAAAGCAAACAGGTGAAGAACCTTAAAATTGGTAGTCGTTGAATCGTCTTCTTCGCCGACCGGTCCAAACATTTGACAAAAACCTTCCTCTGTATCTGGGACAAAAATAGTTCATATGAATCTCCTGGACTAACTCTACCATCAAACTCAAACTCAAAATGTGCTTTTTGTGTAAATATGAATATTTGTTCACAAAAGCTGATCCTATGTCTAAAAATTGAAGTATACAGTTGTAGTAGCGAAAAATACTAAATGTATACATACTTAAAATAGAAGACCTCACAAAACATTTAAGATATAAAAATCAGTATAAAAAAATAAAACTTAAAAGTAAGAGTCATACAAATAAAACTCTAAAAAAACTTTAAATAAAAAACAAAAACTGATTCTATTCAAGAACCAGAGAAACAATTAAAAATGTAAAATCTAAAAGAACAGTGATCATTTTTTACATTGAGGGCGATAAAACGTCTTGTACACAACTAATATTGAACACATATAGCAGGGCTAACAAAAACAGATAAAAAAAGAAAAAAGAAACTACATACAATACCATACAAAATCAAAAAGCATCAAAAAACTCTTCAATACTATAATAAGTTCCCGCAAGCAGCAGTCTCTTTACCTCCTTCCTAAATTTAACTGGAGTGAAAATCGATCTAATTGACTGTGGTAAGTTATTAAACATTTTCTTGCCATTATATATAATCGACTTTCTTACCAACTCGGAAGAGGGAATTGGGAGGGAAAGTTGATGTTGTTGTCTAAAATTATACGCGCGTTCAGACCCTAATTGATCTTTGAATTTCTTATGTATAAGACATACACTCTCCAAGATAAACAGCGATGGAAGAGTCAAAATTCTATTGTTTAAAAATAAAGGCCTACACGAGTCCCGCATTCTGGCCCTAAACAAATATCTGATAGCTCGCTTTTGCAAGACAAACACACTCTGAAACAATTGTCGGGAACAAGTACCCCAGAAACAAATACCGTATCGCAAATGAGATTCAATCAGGGCGAAGTAAGCATTTCTGACGATTCCCACATCCAATTCACCTGACAATACCCTTATTGCATAACAATTGGACGCCAATCTATTCTGCAGAGAAATTATGTGTGATTCAAACTTCAAGCAGTTGTCAATGAAAATTCCCAAATAGCTATTTATACAATAAGTTACGAAATGAGCGTCTTTTAGGCACGCGACGTGAAAATTGTCCAACGAGGCAAAGCCGAGTTGGACAACACGTCGAGTGACTAAAAGACATCGTTTCGTAACGTATTGTATACAAGATTTTTTCTACTGGCATTTTATAATAAAAAAAACACAATTTTATTTCATGTGAATAAGTCGATTACACCCAAAATCTTTGTCACCTGCTTTTACTTGACACCTGACACTTTTCATGCGATTTTCTTTTCAAAATTCGGCATCAATATTTAAAATCCTAGAAAGTAGGTAATAACACAAAGTTCTGTTTTGAGTAACCCAAACGTTCAATTCAGTAATTCCATTTTCAATATTCATAATAAATACAAAACAAAATTCAAATATGTGTTTAGTGTTGTTTTTTATTTCTGAATAATGATTGACACTTTTAGGCACTAGTGCTTAAAAATTACTTTTACGCACTCATAAGTCACTTTTACGCATTCAAAAGTCACTTTTACGCACTGAGTGCCTAAAAGTAACTTTCACGCACTCAGTGCCTAAAAAAATGTCGTTTCAAAACTGAAATGACAATCGAAAAGTTGCTATTATGAAACGTCAGTAGAAAAAATTTATTTTCAGTCAAGTTTTTTAGTAATGAACCATTCAAAAAAATATCTCCCAAATTGCAGCCAAATGACATTACATTAGTTTTGTTTATATTCAAAGTTAACCCGTTTGCATCACACCAGGATTTAATTATTTCTATGTCAGAAGCTACAACCTCGTCAAGTAAAGTTCCATCTGATTTTTGCCACAGTATAGTGGCGTCATCCGCAAACAAAGTGAATTTACCCGATATGTTAAGATTAGCCAAGTCGTTAACATACAGTAAAAATAGGATGGGCCCCAAAACGGAACCTTGTGGTACCCCATATCCTACTTCTTGCTGCTCCGATTGTGTACCGTTGAGTGAAACCCTCTGAACTCTGTGTGTAAGAAATGACTTGAACCATTTTAAAGCTCTACCCCTGAACCCATAAAGATCAAGCTTGTGCAACAGTATTTCGTGGTCAACACAGTCAAATGCTTTGCTTAAATCGCAAAACACTGCTGCTGCCACCTCCCCATCGTTCAGACCCAAATATAAATTTTCAAGAAAAGAAAATACAGCGTCATTAGTGCTTTTACCAGCTTGAAACCCAAATTGTCTAGTGTTTAATATGTTATGCGGGTCTGGTTGAGATAAGGTAAGTTCTCAAAAATGATTTTTTTTGAAAAATTTTGGTTTTATTCGATTCGTTTTTTCATTTTCTTCCCAAAAAAGTGAGGATTATTGGGATTTAACAAAATAATTTTATTATATTTATATCAAATGTGCCTAAATTCTATGCAATAATAATTATGTATTCCTAATAATGGAAATAAAGCCAACCGATGGCAAGGTTGCCGGATGATTTTCAGTGTGTAGTGGTGTGTACAACCCTTGTTGTTTTCGCAGTGCTGCCAGATTTCACATTTTTCATGAACTAGTAGTAAAAACTAATGATACAATCGAGGATACAATTTTATAATTACATATTAAAATTTATTGAATTCAAATAATTTAGTTGTCAACCAGTACACTCATAACCAGTAATAAACGAACTGTGTCAGAACTAACCAATAATATGCAAACTACGTTCTAGTCCTTGTACGTTAATATGTAACTGACCCATCCACCTAATGCGTGCTAGTCCTTGTATGGTAATACTGAATTAAAAAAACGAAACGCGCTAGCGCTCTTTATTAATAACCAGTACACTAGTAATAAACGAAACTAACCAGAAATAGGCAAACTAACCCAAACTAACGCGTCCACCTAATGCGTACTAGTCCTTGTATGTTTATACTGGATTCAAAAAACAAAGCGCGCAAGCGCACTTTATTAATAACCAGTGCACCTATAACCAGTAATAAACGAAACTAACCAGAAATAAGCAAACTAACCCAAACTAACCCGTCCACCTAATTCGTACTAGTCCTTGTATGTTAATACTGGATTCAAAAAACAAAGCGCGCAAGCGCGCTTTATTAATAACCAGTACACTTATAACCAGTAATAAACGAAACTAACCAGAAATAAGCAAACTAACCCAAACTAACCCGTCCACCTAATGCGTACTAGTCCTTGTATGTTAATACTGGATTCAAAAAACAAAGCGCACAAGCGCGCTTTATTAATAACCAGTACACTTATAACCAGTAATAAACGAAACTAACCAGAAATAAGCAAACTAACCCGTCCACCTAATTCGTACTAGTCCTTGTATGTTAATACTGGATTCAAAAAACAAAGCGCGCAAGCGCGCTTTATCAACAACCAGTACACTTATAACCAGTAATAAACGAAACTAACCAGAAATAAGCAAACTAACCCAAACTAACCCGTCCACCTAATGCGTACTAGTCCTTGTATGTTAATACTGGATTCGAAAAACAAAGCGCGCAAGCGCGCTTTATTAATAACCAGTGCACTTATAACCAGTAATAAACGAAACTAACCAGAAATAAGCAAACTAACCCAAACTAACCCGTCCACCTAATTCGTACTAGTCCTTGTATGTTAATACTGGATTCGAAAAACAAAGCGCGCAAGCGCGCTTTATTAATAACCAGTGCACCTATAACCAGTAATAAACGAAACTAACCAGAAATAAGCAAACTAACCCAAACTAACCCGACCACCTAATTCGTACTAGTCCTTGTATGTTA